TTGACCAACCATGGCATGACGTTGTGAGTTGGTTCCAGCTCAGGATACCGCTCCTGCACGTCTGCCCACAAGGTTCGGATCTGGCCTGCCACAAAGCCATTCGCCGATTCGACAGAACCCTGCGACTGGTGCGACCTGACAGGCGCAGCCCTTATCTTTAGCTTTGCTGCTCCAACATGGCGCTGCCAAGCTTTGGCTACGGCTCCTATGGTGTTTTCAGCGTCATGCTGCACCACGGCCTTGTCGTGCCCAAGGTTGTTCAACCACAGCGTCAAGTTGTTGAGCACATACTGGCCGTGCTCCAGGCCCTTCCTGGGAATCTGGAGGGCGAAAGGCCATCCAGAGTCCACATCTATAGCGACCAGCATGGTGAAGAGACTTGACTCTTCCTCCACCACGGCGGCGTTCCTTCCAAGGAACAGGTAGTCAATTTGGATCACCGGTGTCTTCTCCACGCCGATGTCCGCATTGGCTCTTCGCCTGTGGGGGTCTTCCTTGCTTTTACCTGCCACGCACAGTTCGCACCAAGGCTGAAATGGAAGGTGTGTCATACTGTGTGTTGCCCTTTCGGCTGCAGTGGGCGCTGGAGGCGCTTCTGCTGCGAGAGGCCCTGGCGCTTCAGGCACCAGCGCTTCCTCTTCCAAGTCGCCATCAGCGGCTTCCTCCTCCTCAGCTGGGTGCTCTGCTTCTGCTGCAGGCAGTTCATCGTCATCGCTGCTGTGCTCTGCCGCAGCATAAGCCTCAACAGCCTCTTGCTCTAGGTCCACCACTGGCGCGATGCGGACATGCGCTCTACTGGCCCAATCCTTCTCACGGTAAGGCAGCACAAATTGCCTTCCCTTCCGCTCGAAGGTTGCCTTTGACCCATCCGGCCATTGGATGTAGCAATCCTGCGGCGAAAACAGGATGCTTGCTCCGTCATCGATGGCTCGGTTGATCGAAAGGATGTTGTCGGTAATTCCCTCGACCGCTTGGAAAGCTATTTGCGCTTCCTGGCGGCTTTGCCCGCTCCCAATGGTGAGATGTGGGCGGACCTCCCCGCACGCGTGTAGCGGACTGTCGTCGACCGAGTACAGAGACTCGACCACGGTCGGGTCGACTGCCGCCTTGAATGCGTCGGGACGGCATACGGAAGTACACGCTCCGGTGTCCACCAGGAGATCACCTACCCGGGCGACCGTGGACGCACCAGGGTTCTGCTCAAACAACATGATGGCCCGAACTCCAGTGCCAGAGAATGGCTCATGGGGGTTGGTCAAGTTCTTCCACTTGACCCTGTGTTCGATGCAGTCCCACTGCTGGCGCATATCATGCAGTTGCCAAGTGGTTCTCAAACCATAGACCTTGTGTTGTGGTCCAGGCGTGACTTTCTTTCTGATGCGCTGGCTTTTGCCACAAACCACATAAACCTTCTGGCTCGGCAAGCCATGCCAACCCGGCTGGTTGTGGAACGCGAGGATCTCGCCCGGGATCTTGGTGTCCCCCTTTCCCTCAGACACTCGCAGCATGCGAATGGAAGAGGTTCCCTCGCTTACAGTTCGCACCGCTCCACGCACGCTGGACGCGGCACTGGGCGCCGGAGCTATCTGGGACGCGGAGGGGCCCGCAGTCACCTGGGAAGCGGTCTCATCGTTGACATTGGACACGGTCCTCCCCTTCGCGTCTCCTTTGCCTTTCCCCTTGGTGTTGAACCAACATTTGTCTGTGGTGTGGCTGTTCTTCCAGCAGATGGCACAGTTAGGCTTCTCATGTTCTTTCTTGTCACCCCCTTTCGGAGTGTCATTCTTCCCTTTGCCCTTGTCGGTCTTGCCACCTTTACCTTTGCCTTTCTTGCCTTTGTCTGAACCTTTCCCATCGCCCACCTTGCCAATGTCCATGGCGTCTTTCCGGGCGGTGTTTCCCGCGTACGTGGCTGATGGGCTCCATACTCGCTTGGCTTGCAAGTAACCAACCACTGCGTCGCGGACAGCTTCGTAGCTATTCAGCACTGCGGCGTGCATCGCCAGGTGTTGCCTGAGAGCTGCGGGTGCCTCGGTGATGACCGCGGCCCGCTTGTCTTCATCGGCTATGGCCTTACTTTGTCCGTACTCGGACTCATACCGGTCCAAGTCTGCCTCCCACTCTTGGAGGGCTGCGCTGAACTCAGCTTCTTTTGCAGGAAACTTGGGACTCAAAAGAGTTCTTCTCCAAATCAGCGCTTTGGAGTGGTTCTCAGGAGCAAATTCGCGAAACAGGAGGCGCCAAAGTTCGAATCCGTTCTGCTGTCGAATGCCTCGTGACAGCTTGGCTGCTGCCGGGCAATCTTGCACCCAACTCGCTAACATAGCAAACAGCTTGCGCGAGCGGTCTAGTGTGTCCTCGGACATCTCGTCCGGATCCAGAAAGTCTGTCGCTTTGCGACTCATTTCCAAAACCTCTGGCATGCTACCATCCATGAAGGCTAGATACGTTTCCGTTTGGAACACAAACTTTTCCCACCCGTCGCGATCCTTCAGATTTTGCGGCGTGCGGACAGCCTTCATCACATCCATGTGATGCATGATCCCGCTCGGTCTGTTACCGGCGGCAGCGGTCGCGCTTGGACCGTTTGGTCTTTGCGCGGCCTGACCCTGGGCTAGCATCAGCTGAGCGACGGCGTTGGTGAGCTCTGTGGTCTTGGCCTGCGACGCCTCCAAGGCGGCTCGGAGGGCTTGTCGCTCTGCTTCGCTTTGGCGAAGGGCCTCGCTTTGGGTGCTTAGGCCATGCGTCAGAGCTTGAACTTGAGAGACCAGTTCCTGCATCTGAGCGGCGAACTGGCTGGCATCGGCCATGGCTCAATGCCCCTTGAATGTCGGCAGCCAGGCGGATTGCCCGCTCCAACCCCTCCTCCAGCTCCAACGAGCTCGAGGCGGCACTGCCCGCTCTCAGCCTTGCGACTGGAGGTGGGGCCTGCACCTGACCGGTGCGGCTCGCAATGAGCGCTTGCTTGCACTTGTGCTTGAAGTCCTCGACCGGCTCAGGATCTGGGTCACTGACGTCCCCAAAATCAACGGACTCCTCAATGGCCGAGTCCGATGCTCCAGGCGGAGACTCCCGCACTGGGCTGAAACCTCTGGCCCTGGCCTTGGGCTTTTCCTCCCGCTCCCTGTCCTGCTTCTGAGGAGGCGGGTCTGCCCGCTCTGCCTCGAGAAGCGGAGGGGCCCACGCAGCTCGCGCCTTGCCGGCGGGAGCTGAGACCGCACGAGCTTTGTGATGCTCGTGCCGCCCGAGAAGACGACCTTTTGTCTCCTCTGTGGCCTCCAGAGCTGGCTTGCCAGCCCCTAGAGGCGCCCACTGAGGCCGCTCGATAAGCTTGACCCTTGGGCCAGCCTCAACGATCCCAGCTACTGCAGGCTCCTCTTTCGGAAGCGGACCTGCTGGCTCTGGAGATGCCGGGGAGTCTTCCTCTGACTTCTCCTCCTTGGCAGCGTCTGCTGCCTCCTTGCGCTCCTCGGCCGGCGGGCTCGGGGGCGCTGGCAGCTCAGCTGGCTGAGCTGCGGGGCTTGGCCTCTGACCCTGCCAAGCCTCTCCCTCGCGCTGCGCTGTAGCTTTGCGCCGCGCGATGCCTCGGGCGATCCTCTCGGCCTGAGCCGCTTCAGATCGTGCACCTCGGTGGTTTCGAGGTCGCTGGCTCCAGTCTTGCCAGCCTTTCCAGCCCCGGCTGGACCAGCTTTGAGATTGCCAAGCTGGTTCGGACCAGGCCTGGCTCTCCCACCAAGGGCCTTGCTCGGCTTGAGCTTGGCCTTGACGATCTCCGGGCGGAGATCCACTCCAGTCCCACCAGGAGGACCCCGGGCGGGACGTGGCGGCGAGTGCCCTCGCACAGCCTTGGCTGCGCGGTGCTACCCGCGGCAAGTAGTCCTCACGACCTTGGTCGCGGGGCTACCCGCAGAACCAGGAACTCAGTTGAGTTCCTGCGGAGGGCCCTGACCGTTGAGCTTGGTCAGAGCTCCGCTACCATGCGAAACCCGGAGGGCGCAGGCAGCGTCGCGTATTGGGCTCTTTTTCCTTCTAGAGTACACAAGGCACTACAGGTACTACAGGGGCTTGAGCCATGTACAAGAACATACACAAGCCTCTGCCAGTTGACATCTCACATGACGATCTTTACATCTTTACTTTACATGTCATGGGATTCATGGAAAATTCGCCAAAACTCGGCGCGGTCGTCGTCGAAGAGCCTGGGCAACCCGACCAGCTTGGCCGACAGCAGCGCCGCTCCTGGATGGCAGCGCCCCTTGGCGGCTGCTCATTTTAACTTGTGGAGGTGGTCAGATTGGCTTGTTGCATTTGAAAGTGGTCCGACTTGTAAGGTGTTGCTTGGGGATAAAGAATTTTCAATTCATGAAAGATGAGGTCTCCCGGAACGATGAGTCTGTCCCGGAAACAATGAGGTCTGTCCTAGTCCCAGAAACGACGAGCCAAGCAAGGGGGTCTCCAAACGATAAGGCGCCAGCTTCCAGCAAGCGTGGGCCGCTTGTGGTTTTTGATGTTTTGCATTTCAGGACGGTGTCTCCGAACTCCTTGCATGTCGTGCATCCTTCCCGTTCGTACTTTGTTGCAATGCAGAGTGAGTGCAATCCTTTGCCAGGCTATTTGTGGTTGTGCGGCAATTTGCTGCTGACTTCCTGTATTAAGCCAGGTAGATGCTTTCCTGTAATATGAGATAAGACCTTCCGCATTGCATCCACAGCTTTGTTTTCATATTTTCCCTTGGTTGGGCTCCCCCTCAGCCGGCAAGAGTGCATCCAAAGACTGGTGGCCTTTTGGCGCGGGGTTCGGCCCGGTCCTGGGGTCTGGGAAGCAGAAAGCGGGTTGAATAGTAAAGAGGAGTGATCAACGTTCCTCCGCCGTTGGTCCCAAGGTTGAGAACAACAGAACAGTTCAGAGCCATTGATTGTTGAAAACAGTTTTGAAGCATCAGCCATCCACACCTCGGGTTTTGATATGCACCCTAAGAAATCTGCAAGTTGCCCAGCATCATGGTTTGCAAACGAAGCGCCTCAGCTCGCTGCGGGCGCCTTGCGGTCACTTTTCCCTTGCTCTTGCTCTTCGGCTTCCACTGCGTGACCTTCAACATCCCAAAGCGCATGCGGGAAGTTGCCCGAGCCAAGGGCATCAGTGCAATTGAATGTTTGCAAGGGGTCAGCGCGGCTGCAGAGGCTTACAGAAAGAGCGACCAGATCGCTGGACGAACTGACTTCATCGAAGCGCTGCAGCAGGCCTGAGCTTCTTGCTTTTGCGTACAAAGTAAGCTTGTGTTGTTGAGGGTGAGGATTGGTGACCTTCTCGCAAAACCCTGGTCAGGCTATGCAAGAATCAGGCTTGCACCTTCTCATTGGAGGCAAGTCCCTTGGCAAGACCAAGATTCTGCGAAAGGTGGTTGAGGCTGTTGGCAATGAAACTCCGTTGCTCTACATCAACATGCGCCTTCCACCCAAGCCTGAGTCAACGGATGCCTTGGAATGCCTTCAAGTGAAAGCACAACAAACCTGGAGTGCAAAGAATGCGCCCGCTTGGGTGGGGAGATCGGCTAAAGTCATCATTGCCCTTGCTCAGGCAGTTGGCAAGGAGAGCTTGAAGAAGGGTGCTGCGGAGGGTGCGGTGGAACTTGCTTTTGCTGAGTTGCTGAATATGCCGGAACCGCAAGAGTTTCTCTCGGCTTTTGTTGATGCAGCAGTGGCAATGAACAAGATCCCAACTATCATCATCGACGAAGCCAACGGGGCTTTTCCGAACGGGAATGGCAACGGAGAGAGCAGTTCCAACAGAGAAGCAGCCTCCCGGGCCCTTGCTACCTTTGTGGCAATAACAAAAGAAAAATGCCAGGCTTGTGTCATCCTGGCTGCCTCCGATTACGCCTTTCCATATGGTCTGGCAAAACTTGGCTTCAACAAGTATGATGGCCTTGGGACAATCGTGATTCCGGAGGTTGAAATGGAGCTGATGCTGGCTGTGCTGACAGAGTGGGGTTTGCCCGGGGATGTGGCGGAGGAGTGTTCGTACGGGTTTGGCTAGCATAGGGTTGCCTTTGTTTGTGCGTCACTAGTGAGTTTGAAAGTCACACGCGTGACTCCAAAAAGGATAATGGAGGTCGATGTCTGAGTTTGTTTCGCTTGCGCTGCCAGGAGTTCTATATGAACTTCGGCGGCAACATTTATCTCTGCCACCAGGCAGTCAAGACCCTTCTTAAACAGTTCAAGCTTGGTGCAGAAGACTCCTTCGACCCCTTCAGCGTACGAGGTACCGAGGGACTGGCTGGTTTGGCCAAAGACCCGCTCACCCGTGAGCATTTGGAGAACCTTGCACGACAGGGGTGGTCCCCTATCGAGGAAGGCAGCGCAGAAGAGGAGACGGAGAGCCAGAAGGGCGCCCGCATCATCGCCAAGAACTTCGGCGGCGTCATCAACAGAGAGACGGCCACCTTTTTGGAAGACTTGAATGGCATGTTCAGCAACAGAAACACGAAACAGGTGCTCATCCCGGGCACAAGCTACCTGCGCAACTGTATCAAGGTTGAACTTCAGGCGTGTGAGCCCAGCAGCTTGGAAGCAATGTGCTGAACACGCCGTTTTTTGGAGTTCGAGACGGCTCGCGAGGCATTGCCAAGACTGCAAACCGACTCAGTCAAAGACGAGTGTTTGGATTCCTTCTCGTATGGTCGCTGTTTCAATGCCCGAACTCCAATTTTGCAAAGCAAGTGGGATTTGCAGCGGTCCTCAAGCGTTGCTTTCCTCACTTTTGTTTTGTGGACCACTGACGGGTCGGTTGCCCTTGAATAGCTGCAAGCAAAGCTGGGCCGATCATGTTCTTTTCGAGCAAACAATGTCTCAAAGTAGATTTCCCCTACAATCCATGCGCTGGATTATTCATTTGGCGCTGTCAGACCAACGCCCTACACATCATTTCTTGCCTGTTCTTGTACTTCCCCCTTGGATTGGACTGTTGCTTTCTAGTTGGATGTATTCAAGCTTGATTTCGGAGCTTATCCAGTTTCAGGGCCAGTGGAAACTTGTCAGAGCTGCACCCTGCAAGGCAGCGCAGCCCATGGGTGAGAGTGTTGGAACACGGGCAATGGGCGCTAGACTTTTTCATACTGCGAAAAATGTGTTCTCAGCGCTAGACTGGCCTTCCTGCAAGGCAGCACTTATCACGCTGCTCAGATTGCCGCCTGCAAGGCAGTGCCTCGCAACCACCCACTGCGGTATGGGTCCGTCAGCTGAGAAGCCTTGCCTGGGCCTTACCAGCTGTGTGCAGTCTTGCCTGCCCTGCATTCATGTCCATGCTCAAGAAAAGCTGTCAAAGGGTCGACTTTTTTGCTCATAAGATTGTCTCCCACCTCTCAAAATCGAAGGTGTTTGTGAGCATTGCAGAGCCCAGCGGATTTTTATTTGCGATCCACTCCCGGACATTTGTTAAACGGATGGATGAAACTGGATTGCAGCCCTTTGCAAGGATGGCAAGGAGTTTGAGACGACCCCTCCCAGCTAGCGTTTCCTGTCAGTCATGCCTATCCTACAAGGTTTTGACACTGCACATGTGACTTCCCAAAGTCGAGAGATTGACAGCGGGCAAGTTGGTGGTGCAAGACAACGCCTTGCCATGCGGTGTTCTTTTGTCGCGGGGATAGATTGCAGGGTTGTTTATTGCTCAGGATTTGTTGAAAGATATCTTCCAAGACGACATACTTTGTATGTTTTGCTGCCATGCCCTTGCTTATTCAATGTCCATTCCCTTTTGTGACGCGCAGGAAAGAAGCATTTCCAAAGCCCCCACCTCCAAAATCCACTACGTTTGTAAAAATCGCGGAGCCACTGGTTAAGTGGATGGATGCGAACTGGATTGCAGTGCTTGTGCATTGCGAGGATGGCAAGGACTTTGAGATCGTCGGCAACGCATTCAAAATCACTGCTAGTGTTTCAGATGCCCACGCCTCAGCTGCGCCACTTTGCGAAGGATCTACTTCAGCTTGTTTTGCCATCAGAAATGCAGCTGCTCGCTTCGCGAGAATGTCAGGTGGATGATCTGAAAGAAGCCGTGTGATCAGAAGCCGTTTGCTTTGGCTCCTTGTCCGTTCTGGTTTGAGGCCATCAAGCAGAAGAAGCCAAATACAGTGTCTTGTGATGCAGATGAACTGGACATATACAGCCGGCAGGAGAGCGTTGCATGTCAAAAACACACCCGGACACCCATTTGTTCCACTCCCCACACCTCACCCCTTGCCGTCTCTCAGCTTGACTCTGCAGGAAGCGGGCTGGGCCAGAGAAGATGAAGAAGCAGCAGTCAACCGCTGCAAATCCAAGCCGAGCACTCGGATTCGATGCCTTTCAGCTTTGGGTTGTGCCGTCGCCCAGCTGTCAGGGCAGACTGCTACGGATTCGTGTTACCAGCTGGAGCTGCTGGAGCCGCATAGTTTGAGGCACCTCAGCAGCGCAGCAGTGCTCTACACTTGTGAACTTGCATCGTTGCCAGGCTACTGCTAGCTGTGGTCACTTGCCATTCTCGGCTGAGGCAATGCTGGGGCACAACGTTTCGCCTCGTGCAGTGACAAAGCGTGCAGTCGCAGGCACAGTTGTTTCGTTGCAGTGCATTTTTGCTTGACTTTTGGCCATGGACACACCTTGCACTGCAAGAGAGGCTTTGGGGAAGGCCGGGGGGGGGGGACTATCACCCAAGAAACAAGGCCTTGATGGGGACTTATCCTTGGCTTATCCAGGGAGAGCCCCCGACTGGAGCCCTTGAAGGTCCATGAGCATTTGCTCGGAAAGAAGTTCTCCCCTTCCACATGCCTTTTGGAGTGAAGCGTAAGGGAGGTCAATGTTCACACTTTTGAACATCAGGCTGCAGTGTTCAAGACGAGCAGAAAATGTGCGTGCAACGGGTACAAGACCAGCGACGCGCTGGTCAACAGCTGTTTCACCGAGGCATTCCTCCTTGTGCCTAAGTGCGCAGATGCAGTACCGAACCATTTGAAGAAGTGCGGAGGAAATGATTCGCAACTTGTGCACATTGTTTCATGCTATTTGTTGAGCGTGGCGCTCAGAGAAGCTTGTTGAAGAGCAGACCCACACTGCTGCGGTGCCCTTCCTCAACATGCACGTCGAGGAGGGCGTGGACGGCAAGCGCCTCAAGTTCTTGCGGGACGTGCTGGGGGCCAGGGTCTGGAGGCTGCACAGAGCCTACCGCTTCGCCTGCAGCCCCTTCATGGCCGGCTTCATGGAGCTCAAGCACAGCGAGCGGAGGCAGCTCAAGACGGCGGGAGCGTGGTCGCCGAGAAGGTGGTGAAGCTCACCCAGAACGCCATCTTCGGCCGCTGCTGCATGAACCCGTGACGAACTTCGAGCTCCAGATCAACGACTCGGAGGGGTTCCTGGCCTTCGTGGAGACGCTCAAGACGAACCGCAGCAGCGCCTGCATGAGCGTGCCCATCCAGGTCGGCGCCCGCACGCTGCAGCTCTCCAACCGAAGATGCGACTGCTGGTGCAGATCTTCGAGCTGCAGGACCCTCCACGCCATGGCCGAGGCGAACCTGAGCGGCGCCGCCCTGTTCGACGTGGCCGGCAAGTCCAAGGACCCCGAGACGGACCTGAGCGCGCTCTTGGCAGCGGCGCGCGCCAAGGCCGTCGAGGGGATGGGGCAGCTGGGCAAGCTCGGCGACGAGACCTTCCCCGCCCAGGATCCTCGAGTACGTGCCGAGTTCCAAGCGAAGAGTCTCACCTTTGAGAAAGGTAAATGCACAGTCATCATAGAGTCAATCCTCGGCGCCACGCTAATAGGCAAGTGCTTGAGTCCTGTGAGTGTTCCTTGTCAGCGGGCCATCTCAGAGTCCTCAGAGACCAATGAGGAAAGAGAAGTTCGTGAGAATGCCAAAGACACAAAGACGGAGTCTGCGCCCAAATTGGTCAACTCAGAAGACGGTGGAGATCCATCGCAAGAAGAACGTCCCAGATGAGAATTGTGACCCAACAGGGGATAGAGATGATCATCCAGCTACATCGCCGGAAAGATCGGGCGTTATCTCTGCACCATCCCGAGCGCAGCGCGAGATTGAGCGCCAGTACCGGGCCATTCGAGGCTTACAAATTCCTCCACACGGTCGTTCAGTTGTTCTACGAGTGTCAGTTCGTTACTGAAAGACATTCACACTCTGTTTGCATGCTGGAACACAAGAGGGCCTTCATCCAGGCTCTTTCGATTTGTTGCGATACCCATATATTCAAGAGCGTCCCAAAAAGCACATCGCAGGAATGTAGTGCCACCAGTGCTCCACAACACTCTGCTCCATCGTCAGCACACTACTGAAGAACGTCCGTTGATTGACCAGGCAATAAAACCAAAGCACGTAGTTCCATCACTGATTCTGTGGAGAGTGGAACGAGTTTTAGGCACTAGATCATGAATCCAACAACTACAAGATCACCGTGCCGAGGCGCAGGACGGATCATGTGACTTCTACAAATCCCAAGCGCGCCGGAGAATGTCCCAACATCCTGCTGATGGCGATCTTTTCGCAGCGCAACAAGGCAATATCCGATTTGGCGGGTATATTCCCTGAGTTTGGTGTAACCATTTGCCTCCAGATGCCAAGACCTTTGAACAACAGCACGCGCAGCGGCCACCCAAACAGCATCGAGAGCGAGTATTTAGGCAGACCCATGGGGAAACCAAATAGCAAATGGAAGTGGTCAGAAGGAGCAAGATTTCATCCTCATTCGACCAGAAAGAGAAAGACCAGGAAGGAAGAGTCCGCAAGGCCCGGCGAGCACCAGACCAACTGATCCGCCAAGATGATGCGCGAACAGCCTGAAAAGGCTCCTGTGAAACCACCAGAATGTGCTGGACCAATGCGCGGAACGTCTGGAGTTTTGCGTCAAGGCCTATTTCAACCATAGAGATTCCACCCACGGTGCCAACATCAACCTCAAACCAGGCGCACGGGAGAAGACGTTCCACAGGGGAAGGAGAAGCGTCTGACAAAGGATATCAATCAGCAGTGTCCTCATTTCGACCAGCTGTGGACCCTTGGCAGTTCAAGACATCCATCGCAATGCGCGCGGGAAAAGACATGAAGTTCACCTGCATGCTCATCAGCGAGCCGCTATCCCAGCAAACCGAAAGAGGACAATGAAGCAGAACGCGAGTGCTGCAAAAGTATACGAGAACACAAAGGAAGCATTCGACGCAGGCCCCGAATTCACGCAGGTGTGGACCCGCGTGTATAATTAAACTCTTCTCCACCGAAGCGCCCACCATGCTTCTTTTGGGGTCCGTGGTCGGGAGGAGGAACTGCATGTGCTCTGCAACAGCGCGAAGCGCTACGTTTTCTTGGCCACTACCACCACCTCCACGTTCGACAATACAAAGCTGCTGCTAGCGCCAAGACACCAACAATATTTTATCATGTGTCAACGTTTGCAGCGCTGTTCTTGAGACCATAGCAGGTCCGCCAAGCCAGTGAGCCAGCGACTGATGTTTTAATCGGAAAGAGCCAATGTGCACAACGTGTTGCGCAGTGCAGCTCACACCCTACGTCCCAACAAAGCAGACCACTTCTGCGAGAGTTGGCCCGATGACCAGATAGAAATTTCTTCGCGTGCGTCTTGGCCAAGCAGCCAAACTCAAGAGCAGTCGGATCTTCGTCAGACTAGCGGAGATTGGGGGTGTCCCCTTGTAGTGCGGATTTAGACCATTTTTGGAGGAAACTCCGCCCTAATAGTGGGACGGGTTCATACGTGGCAGTGGTTGTCAAAACTGTTTTTTTGATCCCATTTTGGGGGTTGGGATGTTCACTTGAAAGGGTTCATACTGTGGATGGACGAAATCCATTTCGCACCGCAGGAAACCCTGGTTTAGGATGATTCCCTTGCATAGTGCCGGACAAACACTTAGAAACGATTTTGGAAATAGCGAGGTAGCACGTCTGTTTCACACTGCCGAAAGACGGCTAAGAATCTCTAGTTTTGCAGAAACCAATCACCTTTTGACAGAGCTTACGAATCAGAGCGCGCCTTTTTCGACTCGTGGAAACCAGAGTCGAGTGTAGACTCGTCAGGCAGTGATTCAACGGTATCAATTATTTGATGTAGGAGGTGAAAACAAATTTGTGACTGTTTTTGTTTGCTCTTGCATGATGTTTGGCCTCTGTTTAATCACCATTGTGGCTCGCGGCCTGTTTCGTAAAAGGCTCGCTGAGTGTTGCTCGTGATGCAGTTTGGGATCCGCAATCAGTAGAAGCCACAGTGTTCATTGATTCCTGTTTCTCCCCGAAAACGGATCCAACGGGACCTTCGTGAAATGTAATTGCCGGGTTTCCTTGCCCCTAGCATCACCCCCCCGCGTTTTGTAAAGGATAAGGGGGACATTTCCGACCACGAAGTCGGCGAGGATTGGTTCCATGCTCCTTGTGAGGCTTTTTGTTGCATCCGGCGCCGCGGCTCTGAGTTCTTAGCGATAGCTTAGCCAACCTTCAACTTTTACCGTGCGCCACCCCATGGTGGCATCATATCAGTTCGTTTGGCTTTGGTGCCTTTGTCTTTTGACCGCGGCCCAAGAATGTGAGCCGCCGCGGGCGCCCAGCCTGCTCCAATCCCGGCAATCTGTGGACCTGAAACCCGACCCGGTGGAGGAGCAGCTGGCGACCATGACCGGCATGATGCGGCAAATGCAGGCGGAGCTGTCGGAGATGGAGGGCAAGATGGGCACCGACGCCGGCCGAGTCAGCGGTTGGGATGTGCCGCAAGGTGGCCATGGGTCAAAACCAATGTTGGGGTAGGTGCGCCACCCATTTTACAACCTATTGAAATCGCTACCCGATCCGCCGACGCCAGTGGGATGCAGGGAATTTTAGACCTTCTTCATTTTTTCATGGAAGTGATGCTGACGATGCTGGAAACGCAAGGCAATCTTCGCATCCAAAATTTCAAGACTTTCAGACGCGCAAAATTGACCAAAAACAGAAAATACCAGAGATGCCGGGAATGCTGGGAATGCAGCCGGCTGGCCACAAAAAGTCCAAACAACCAGGGTTTTTATATTTCCCAAAATCAACCATCAAAAGCAGATACTAGCAACCCCCTTCAAATACTCTAAAAATAGACTTCCAAAAGCACGATTAATGCAGGGGATGTTTCGCAGCAACTGCTCCGTACAGTTGGGGAATTGCAAAAAGCACTGCACTTGCCCCCGCCCAGACCTTTAATAGGCCGATTCCAACATCGCTTGAAACAGAAAAACACCATTAGTATCTGCAAAAACAAGTGACGAATTCATTGCAGCAAGGTGGGGGTGCAGATCCTGCCCCCCCCCTCTACAGATCTAAGCGAAGCCCAGATTTTTAGCACGCAAGCCCCAAAAACACTGGACAATTACAGGGTTTTGGACACCCAGCACACCATGCCCAAAAATGGCAGCCCCAAAAGCCTTCGGCTTTGATAAGAGATCCGGAGGAAGACCAAGTTGCGGACTGCCATCTACACGCTCGACTGTCGTCGGCGGATTTTAGTGGGGATTGGGATGTTCACTGAAATTGCCGGCTTTGACCCATAGCCAGGTGACGGTCGCGTTGCTGCTTTGCTCGCGAAGTTGCAGAATCAGAGCAGCGAGCTGAACCCATCTTGCCGGCGGCTGCAGGCTCAACCTCATCTCTTGACTGAGAAGCCTCAGGTGCAGCTGGCCAGTGCGGAAGTAAGGGCAGGCTGTGCGGCCAACTTCATGGAACTTCATGACTTTGGTGCAACTGCTACGGCGACTTCCTGCTGCCCAAAATCCGACTTGGCATGTGCAGGCTGCGCCAGCTTTGCCCAGACATGCCAAGAATGCCAGGGCGGCTTTGTGAAGCGCCAAGGGGTATGCATTGCCTGCACCAGCTCCAGCGAATGGCTCAATGAGAACGGCCTTTCTTGCACTCAGCTTGCGCTCGCAGACTGCAACGATCTTCCGGTTCGGGGGGAGAGCAGCAATCAGGCGTGCTGTGAATGCGGGGGAGGGCATGTGATTCCCACGCCCTTCGAGTACCCCAGCCGCCGCTGGGCATTGACGTCTGAGATTCATCTCAGACCGGAGCCCCGCACGGCTGAACGGTACACGGTGGATTCAGGCTGCGAGCTTGCGGCTTACAACCTGACCATAAGTGGCTCATCAGGCCTGATTTCCTACATCGACGGCAAGAAAAAACCCGATGAGGCTTTCAGTATCCAATGCGAAGTCACGGCGCACCAACAAGCTGGTGTCAGCTTCACTGCAGTGGTCAAAGTGACCGCAGATGTTTTGACATATCAGTCAAGTGCCCTTCTCTTTCACACCGGCTCTACGGAGTCCCCCTTGACCTCCGTTGCTTTGTCGAAGTTTGCTCTCAGCTGTGCTCCCGAGCTCGACTGGTTGGTGCTGGATGGCGGAACTGGCGTGTTGCGCTTTGCACCCGGGAGCGCAGCAGGCGCTGGCGGCGTCTCAGTGGTGGAGGAGAAGTTCTTCGGGCAAGATGGCGGCGTGTGCACGGTGTCTGCTTGGGCTCAGGGGGAGAAGTACCAAGCGTCCTTCATGGCTTTGAAGCCTCGGCCCTGGCCAAATCTGCAGTATGACTTGTCTTCAGTGTCCGTCTCCTTGGGTCAAGAGCTGCTGCCGCTGAAGCCGAAGACACCTGCCGCACAAGGTTTGATGAAGCCCTTCGCCTTCCACGTCGCCTGCGATGTGAGCGGTGCCGCGAAGGCCTTCACCTTTGATCGCCTCCTGGGGGTGGGCTTCCTGGATGGGCACAGCGTCTTGGAACTCGACAAGGACGGGCAACTCACCATTGCCCCTGCCAGCACGCTGGTCTCGCTCTTTGACCAGTTGTTGCAAGATGCCCAGCGGAAGCACATGACCTTGCAATGCCGCGTGGTGGGTCTGTTCCCGGACCAAGAGCTTCCCCCGGTGGAGACATCCTTGAGCATCCACATCCAGGATAGTGTCTGCTGGGTGTCCGAGACAGTGCAAGGTGTTGCGGTGCCGGATGCTGACGGGGCGGCTGATGAGTCGAAATGTCGAATGAGCTGCCGCTTGGACGACACCTGTGCGAACTACAAGTATGAGTCCAACTCCTGCTTGCGGTATGATGTGAGGCAGGATGGCGTTCAAGCTACGGTCACCGCAAAGATCACAAATTGCACCAATGAGGGTACGTGCATGCGTGTGCAACATAGCCTGTGGTACCTCTCTGGAAAGTACTGCCCTATAGGTCGTGATGCAGTGAAGGGTGGCATCATGTACATCAGAGAGCATGAAACTGCAGAGGACATGGTGTACCTCTATCAAAGCAGAGAGGGCGATGGCTGCTCTTTGGGCGAATGGCTGCTGCAAGGTCCAGGAGATTCGGATTATGTGGCAAAGTCCTCAGGGCTCTTTGAGTTCAGAGGTAAGCTGCTCGAGTGCTTGCCCGACAACCAGGTGAGTTTTGCACTGAGCGCCTGCTCCACTTCTTCCCTGGCCTGGGAAGAGGAAGAGGCAACCGGATCAAACGGGCTTGAACCATAGATGTCCTTACGTTAGTTTAGCTCAACATGGATGATGGATGCATGTCTCCACAAGGCCGCGGTTTGAACATCTGCGCCCAAAAGATTCGTATGGGAGTTGCCAGGATGGAGAGGGTCTGGCTGCCTTGGTGCTGGACAACCCGGGTACTGCGGATCTCGCAGACCATTGGCTTCATCCGTGTGATTGCGCCCCTCCAGCATGGAACACGGAGGAGCCCGTGAACAAGGAGAGCTTTGAAGAGCTTCCTGCGGGCAACCAAAACAACTTCCTCCCCAGCCCCTTTGTGATCGTGACTGGCCAATTTGTATGTCCTTCACGGCAGCTGCTACCAGATGCGCCCTGGACAAAAAATTGGTGGTCTTTCTGGATCTAATCCAGTAGCAATGCTTGGACGTTCCATGAACCCAGCGCCCATATCCCCGGTTTCTTTGTGCCCCGCCCGCATCACGTGACCCGTTGCTTTCCATCTGAGCGGGCCGTAGTGGGGGGGGGGGTTGCGGGCTCGGAAACCGTTCTTGAGGTGGTGTGAAGACAGCACAAAGGTGTGATGTGGTTGTCCATTTTTGGGGGCTGATGGTGTCAAGCCATGGGCAAGCGTAGAATTCAGGGCCGAACCCAAACGCCGGAGAATGGCAAGCTGATTACCCTTGGCCACGGGTCAAAATCCCGTACCCCCCAGTTTACATCCCAATCCCCGCTGCAATAGGTCACTTACCAACCAAATGGAATCCCAAAACGGTTCTGACCCCTCCCTTTTTTTGCGCCCCGAGGTCGGTGTGCGGTTCCAGACCGAGGAGGAGCTCCAGGAGCCGTCCGACTGCGAGGCGCGGTGCCGGGATCACTCGCGCTGCGGCTTCTTTTGGCACGGGGCCCAGCACGGCGCGGCCACCTGCCGGCTCTTCAGCGGCTGCGACAGCCTGGTGCGGGAGTTCAGCCTGGAAGGAGCTGAGAATTGACACCAGAGAGAGGGGCAAATGACAACCCGTGACTTTTTGAGGTGGAACTATTTGGGACGGGTGACCTTCTTTCCTTTTCTGGCTTCTTGTGCTGGGCCTTTAGAAAAGGGCGCTTGCTGGCGATGCAAGGCCAGCTGCTTGCCTTGGTCCGTGAGAGCAAGTGCATGGTGGCGGACGCGGACGCGTGTTGGGCCACCTCCTTGCGGCGAAGCTTCTTGTCCATGGCCTTTGACCCCACAGGACGGGTGTCACAGGCGTCCTTCTTGGCTTGCTCAAAAAGCAGAGGGCGATTCCTGGTTTGGATGGGGTTGATTCCATTTACCAGGGCCATCTCTTTTTTTTTCCCCCAAAGGGCCGCCTATGGACGGATTGCATGACTTGGCTTGGATAAGGCTCTCGAATCCTAGGAAATATCTTCATTCCAAAAATCTGGGCCCTGACTTGTATAGACTCAGACCATCTGTCCGGCAGGAGCTCGGGTGGCCGAACCTGTGCAGACCAACAACGCCCCACCGAAGCCTGCAGACCCGCCGGCGCAAGGCATGGTGTCTTGGTTCAAGAGCGAGAATGCTGGGTCAGTCTGGCCGAGCTCCGTTGGTGGCTTTGAGGGCACTGCCAATAGAAAGAGTGTTTTCAGAGAGGTTGCGGCTGGATATGGCGCAGATCGCGCCGTGACGTACATACGGGGCGCAACTGATGAGGGCTTTAACTTCGGGGCAGTGCTCCCCCCGACGTTTACCCTTTGTTCTGTCACCCGCTACACGGGAGGAAATCGAAAGCGTATTCTGCAATCAGGAGACTCCAACATGATTCACGGTCATTGGGAGAACGAAGTTGGCGTGGCATGCTACGTCAAATGGATTACCTACAGTGAACACAACAAGGTGGCAGGGGTTGATGTGGCCAAGAAAGACAAGATGGATTGGCTGGTGCTATGCGGCACCAATGTAGCCCAGCGGGTGTATGATGGAACAACCAACGTTGCAACCGGGATAGCGGGACCCCGGCCTTCCACTGAGACCTTGATGGCCAATGCTGGCAAATATGCAGAATTTTCCGACTGGGCTGTTATGGAGGTGATGACTTGGGACAGAGCGCTTTCGGATGCAGAGATGCTGTCCAGCGTTGAGTACTTGCAGTGGAAGCTGCGAGCGGGTAGCTCGCTGGAATTGTCCGAGCACTTGGCTACCTGGTCCGACTCAAATTTCGAGTCGTTTGGCCATCAGTCGCTGGATGGAGTGGTAGATCAAACTTTTCACGTAGGCTTGGCAAATGGCTACAAGGTTTCGCTTGTTGGATGGCCGTATACGCGGAGCTATGCTTTTGGATTCCTCCGCAACATGGACGGGAAAGCCACAGCCACTGTGACTGATCTGGTACCCTCTGCCCAGTATATCTTCCAGGTATACATGAGGTCCACGGCTTCCACTTACATGTCTGTGAGCAAGGTGTCGGTCAACCACGGAAGTGAGTCCACTGCTTTTCAGGACGGGACGGACTTTGCTTGTGTTTCTGGTGTGGCGATTGCTACCCCACGTGGAGAGATCAACTTTGAGTTCGACCGAGCTGGCAGCCATCATGTGCATTTGTCCGGCCTCGCCATTGCGAAAGTTGGTCAACAGACTGCACCAAAGCCTGCAGACCCGCCGGCGCAAGGCATGGTGTCTTGGTTCAAGAGCGAGAATGCTGGGTCAGTCTGGCCGAGCTCCGTTGGTGGCTTTGAGGGCACTGCCAATAGAAAGAGTGTTTTCAGAGAGGTTGCGGCTGGATATGGCGCAGATCGCGCAGTGACGTACATACGGGGCGCAACTGATGAGGGCTTTAACTTCGGGGCAGTGCTCCCCCCGACGTTTACCCTTTGTTCTGTCACCCGCTACACGGGAGGAAATCGAAAGCGTATTCTGCAATCAGGAGACTCCAACATGATTCACGGTCATTGGGCGAACGAAGTTGGCGTGGCATACTACGACAAATGGATTACCTACAGTGAACACAACAAGGTGGCAGGGGTTGATGTGGCCAAGAAAGACAAGATGGACTGGCTGGTGCTATGCGGCACCAATGTAGCCCAGCGGGTGTATGATGGAACAACCAACATTGCAACCGGGATAGCGGGACCCCGGCCTTCCACTGAGACCCTGATGGCCAATGCTGGCAAATATGCAGAATTTTCCGACTGGGCTGTTATGGAGGTGATGACTTGGGACAGAGCGCTTTCGGATGCAGAGATGCTGTCCAGCGTTGAGTACTTGCAGTGGAAGCTGCGAGCGGGTAGCTCGCTGGAATTGTCCGAGCACTTGGCTACCTGGTCCGACTCAAATTTCGAGTCGTTTGGCCATCAGTCGCTGGATGGAGTGGTAGATCAAACTTTTCACGTAGGCTTGGCAAATGGCTACAAGGTTTCGCTTGTTGGATGGCCGTATACGCGGAGCTATGCTTTTGGATTCCTCCGCAACATGGACGGGAAAGCCACAGCCACTGTGACTGATCTGGTACCCTCTGCCCAGTATATCTTCCAGGTATACATGAGGTCCACGGCTTCCACTTACATGTCTGTGAGCAAGGTGTCGGTCAACCACGGAAGTGAGTCCACTGCTTTTCAGGACGGGACGGACTTTGCTTGTGTTTCTGGTGTGGCGATTGCTACCCCACGTGGAGAGATCAACTTTGAGTTCGACCGAGCTGGCAGCCATCATGTGCATTTGTCCGGCCTCGCCATTGCTCGCGTGAGCAGCCCATTCGTCATGCTTCAGTCAGGCGCGTCAGGATCCTCATCCGTGAAGCAGTCGGACTTTGAGGCTGGCTTTGGTTTTTTGCATTTGTATCAGCAGTGTGATGCGGCCCTGTTGCTGGGAGGGGTAGGCGTTCAATCTTGCGGTCGTCCCACGTACCGAGCAACGGACTCTCATGCTTGGAAGCACAAGAAGCCTTTGCCTTCGTCTCTGTCGCACGGCAGCACGCTGCTGGCCTCATGCTGGTCAGAGCGGTTCCGCCTCACACGGGCAGGCGCTACTGTGCCCAACGACAAGCTGCAATGTGTCCATGGCGAGTGGTACAACAGTCTTGGATTGGGTGCAAGATTGGTTTGAACAAAACGATCTGTTGCCACGTTGACCAACAGTGTTTAGAACGCTTCCCGACACCATTGCCACTTTGACCGAAACAAAGCTGGTCGCAAAACGGGCGGTTTCAGCATGTGGATATGGGTCAAAATTAATCCACCAGGAATTGGACCGCAGGTTTTAGTCCATGTTTCCACTTACCAGGGCAACCCATTTTGGGTACCACCACTGCCAGGTCGGGCTCCAGGGGCTGTCCTGTGACGCCTGCGTGCAAGTGGCCGCCAGGGGCTATGCGTCTTATCACCAGCGGAACGAGCAGGCGGGATCCGATGTGTCGGTTGGTCAAAACCAACGGGATCCCATCCTGGTTGGTAGGTGAATTCACCACCCATTTTAGTCTACTTTAGTGGGGACTGGGATGTTCACTTGGGGGTACGGGCTTTTGACCCATGGCCATGTAAGCTACAGTGGATGGTTGCGAGTCATCCATTTTGCACCACTTGGGAAATAGGAGACCATGGTTGGTTGGTATCTACAGGAGACTCATCAATCAAGGGTTTTCTAGGTGCGCGGGCGAGCGTAGAAGCACACGCATAGAAGCAACGGAAGTGAGGTTCAAGTAGTCTTAGGAGCAGGCAGTTGGAGGCATAAGGATTCTGCCATGCATTGCGAGGGTTGTGCTATGTACCTTGTAGATCACCAGTAGTGCTCTTTTACTTCTTTTTTGGGGAGGGTTCCCCTACTAAAATAGACTACAGAAAAAGGGTACACTTATTCTAACCTCTCTACTACTGGGGGACCTATTCCAGAGGTGAAGAAGTGAGCCGAGAGAATGAGGAAGACATAGGCAGAGTAAAGAGACAGAGATATAGGGAATTAGAATGCAGACTCTTGTCTAAGCAGTAGCTCTCAGAGCCTCTTCTTTCCTTTCTCTTCTCTCCCTCACTCATTCCTTTCCTGAGTCTTTGTGAGTGACAGGGAGTGGATACGAGCGGGAAAGAGGGAAAGGTGAAGGAATGGGCTCTCTTCGTAGTCACAAAGCATCATGCATGGATTCACATGTTGCTCTTTCAGGAGCTGTATCACTTCAACAGGATGGCGCTGAGCGTTTACACCGAGCTTGGCATGATCAAAGAGCTCAGCGTCGCCCCAAAGCATTCGTATTGCTTAGATGTAGCCTCAGATGCCAATGTGGGGAACATGACGGTAACAGCCAGCACAGGCTGCAGTGCGAACTTGCTCGCGCAGGTGAGCTCTCTTTCCAATCCCCAGCACAGACAGCTGCGGCTCATTCCAAGCAACCTCAGCTTTGCTGAGCATGGGCAATGCTTAACAGCAAAAGAAGCAGAGGCAGGCTTGGAGTTCCGAAGTTGCAACAAGACGGATGACAAGCAACTCATGTCGCCTGCATCACTCCCCTCAGACATGTGGTCCCTTCATGTGGAGGCAGAAGAACGGACTCAGGACTTGCACAAGCCGTACTCTTCATATTGCGGCACCAGCGGAGCATTAAGCAACTTGGACTTTGGCCAGATCTTTGTCGGAGACACGGAGACCGCCACCAAATGCAAGTTCGCGCCTTTGATTGCCTTTGGCGACTTTGTCGATACAGGCATCATCCGAGACAAGACTTCCAGCAACTGGATAGACTGGCATCATTTGCTGGCAGATTATCCAGTGCAATGCGGGGCCGGCGAAGCTCTGACCGCCTTCAAGCTGGATTCAGGGCGGAACTCGTTCACCTACGAGTGCAGCAAGATCGGGGGCCTGGGCGCTTGCTTCGACGCCTGGAGCTCGCAGGCGGAGGTGCTGCAGTTCGGCCCGGCGCAGAGCTACTGGGCCAAGCCCATGCGGATGATGCACACGGAGTCTTTGCTGCATTTTGCCGAGGGATGTTCGGACTGAATCACTTTTTGCCAACTAATTAATTGGGTTTTCCGTATTAAACCCCAAAGAGTCAGAAACTTTTCGGGGAGCAGAAAGCAACCGAGGACTGCGGGGGCAACGCCGTGCTGGGCGGCTTCCACTTCGAGTTCTCGGAAGGGGGCCGCTGGGCGCGGGTGCGCTACAGCTGCTGCAAGGCAGGCGGAGCTCCCATCGTGATCGATCCCCGGGGGCAGGTGCCGGATTTGATGAGCCCCTTCGACGGGGTGTTCTGTCCCAAGTCTAGGGATCCATCAGGGCGACTTGAGTACGAAAGCTCCGGTAGGTCGTTGACCTTTGACGCTTGACAGATGGCAACCTTTTGGATCACGGTGAACTCACAACCTTGAGATCCATCTCGGGTTTCGCGCAATTGCGCTCTGCTTCTTTTTTATTTGTTCTCTCCGTTGAATTTTTTGGAATTTAGGACAGAAGCCTCGGGAAGTGGTGTATTGGCTCCGAGTGCTCCCACGTTACGGCCAGCGCGACGCCTCTGGATGCGCCGCTTCTGAGCTTCGACGTGGTGAATGTGACCGACTTCAACGGCGAGTTCTTGGGAGGGGGCGTTCCAGGCGCGATCTTTTTTTTGTTTTTCCTCAAACAAGACAGGGAGCCGGGGTTTAAAGGACAAGCTTCGGAAGCGAATCGAACCAAAGGTGATCACTTTTCATTTCTGGGTCCCATCCGGGGCAACTGAAGGGATCTAGCGCCATTCCCAGGGCTGCTGGATTCCTTGTGAGGTCGAGTTGAGTTGCGAACCCTGGGTTTCGAATGAAACCGAAATGAACAAACGGACATCGCCGATTCTGTTCGGACGCAAGTGTTCTCAGTGACAAAATTCGTTGGTCTTTGAAATCGTTGGAATGTCATTTTTTTTGTCGCCGGTTCTGCGCTGATCTCTCAGCTGGCAGTGTCTCAAAGAAAGGTACCAAAGAGGCACCTAAAGGTAGATGGAGCGAAAGATGAAAACCTGCGTAACTCCTGCTCTTGAATTTTGCTCCACACCCTGCTTCCACTCGTCCATGTTTCGAGGCGAAGGTGGCAAGAAGACTCTCTCCTTGGAGCAGGCCCTGAAGCTGAGGCGAGGGAACCGATGAGATGCTTCTCGCTTCCAGGTTTCGTTTTCTGGATGTATAAATGGCGCCTTTGGGCAGTTTGGTGATCTGGATGGCTGTTTAGGGCAACTTCTCCCTCAAGGGGTAGGGGTAAGCTGAGTAGACTTCAACTGCGCTGCCTCTCTGCTTCTCCCGACTGGTTGGGACTGAACTGGACGTGCCCGTAGGTTCCAATGGATGCTCAAGTAGCTGAGGTTGGATGAATTCTACAGAGCGATTTCGCCGATTCGGGGCTAAAACGAGATTTTCGGGATCCTCACCAGCTTCTTCAAACCTAGCTCTTGTGCTGCGCAGGGTATGGGTCAAAATTGGACCACCCGTGGCGCGCAGGTTTTAGTCCAAGTTTCCGTCTACCAGGGCAACCATTTTGGTTACGCTTGTTGGTGGTTTTGCTCAAAAAATAGCAGGCCCTGGTTTGCTTGGTGGTTCCATCATCTACCAGGGCCATCTATTTTCCAAAAAGGAGATACCTATGGGGGTTACCCTACTTTTGACCACCGCATCCACATTTGTCCGGGCAAAAAGAAGCGTCCTATTTCAGGCCGCCGAAGCGCCCGGTGCCGCCGCCCATGCCGGAGCTGGAGGCGTGAGTCGGCGAAACTTGGTCGGGGCGAGCGTTGGGACGGGAGGGGTGGCGCTCAAATTCAAACAGGAGGGGCAAACCGCAGGCTTTGGTCCATGTTCCCACTTACCATTTGGTCCATGTTTTTACGCGTGCATTGGTTTCTGTTTGGTTTTGGTTCCTTTTGGTCCGTTTTTTGAGCCACAGCCATTTGGTGGTTTCATTTTCGATTGTGCCAGGAGTTTAAAGCAGAGCAGCCGAAGTATGCCGCAGAGTGCCTGGACTACAAGGAGGGAACGGGGTCAGGGTCCACTTTGTAAGCTTAGGTTTTACATCCTTCGAGCTGGTAGTAGCCATGCGATCGGCAGAGCAACAGATGGTATTTTGTGTCGCAGGCAAACGCTCACACACACACACAATTAGCGATGCAATGTGCATGTGTATATATATATATATATGATGTAACGCCCCGGTATGTAAAGATGAATTAGGTTTGCGTTCCGCCAGATTTCGGCTTGCGGGTTATGGCCACTGGCCACTCCTCCGAAGGAGTGTGCCAGTGCGATCTGTGCCTGACCCTTAGCAGGGTCAGGGACCTGTGCCGAGGGTCTAGCTCCTACTTTTTCTGGAGCCGGGCCCTCGAGCGTGTGAGGTTGCTGCAGGGGGAGATCCTGGACCTTCAAGATCGGGATCACTGGTTGACAACCCAGCCCCCTGCAGCAACCCCTCCTGGGACGGGAGGGGTAGGAGGTGCTCCTTCCGAGGCAGCATCTCCAGCAGGAGCTCGAGCTCCTGAGGGAGGACCGGGGGACCTGGCAGTCCCCCCGGTTCAGCGGCAGAGGCTGCTGGGGCCAAAGAGGCCGGTGAGGAGAGAGTGAAGGAGAAGAAGAAAAGGAAGAAAGAGGAAAAGAGGGAGAAGGAGAAGAAAAGGAAGAGGTCCAGGTCATCGAGGGGGAAACGCGAGGAGAGCGTAGAGGTCACAAGGAGTCCGGGAGGAAAGGAATCGAAAAGAGGAAGGGAAGAGTTTCCGTGGCACCAGGTAGGAGGGTCTGTGGGGGTCAAGGAGGAGCCCGCCGCGAGCGAGGAGGAAGAGGAGCGCCCAAGGGAAGGCAGACATCGGACCCCCACCTCTCCGGTGTCATCAAGCAAGGAGGATAAAGCGAGGAGGCATAGGAGCACTTCGAGTGAGGGGCACATCAGGCGGCTTATTGCAAAGAGCAAGGAGGCCACTGAGGAACGGGCTGAAGGTGAAGAGAGGAGAGAGGAGGCATCAGACAGCAGAGAGAAGGAGGAGATCAAGAGGGACCTCAGCCGGTCCCCTTTGCGGAGGCTCCCGGGGGGCTTCATCGAGGACCTGCTGATCCGGCCCCGAGAGGAGTACAGAGGGTAGGACAGGAGAGGAAAGAACAAAGGGCGCAAGAAAAGAGAGCAGCAGAGGAGGTTCAGAGAGCGCTTTGGTGGAGGAAAAGGAAAAGGTGGTGGAAAGCACTGGGGAGGCCGAGGAGATTGATGCCTCCGAAGGTGGGCGGCAGAAGAGGAGCTGCTAAGGCTAAAGCAGCTGCGAAGGGGAGAGCTAGAGCCCTGGCCCGGCTGCCGGTAGCTCCTCCTAGGGTCCGAAGGAGACCAGCTGGGGAGGAAGAGAGAGAGGACCTGGCCGTGTTGAGGAGGCCGGCTGGTAGGCAGGTGGCTCCAGTTGAAGAGAGGTTTGAGAGAGGGGAGAGTGTGAACGTTGTGGAGTTGCCCAGACATTTGATTAGGCCAGGCCAGAGCTTGATCGTGGTGGAAGGCAACTACTGGGAAGCCCCCGTGACGCTATGTGGAACAGTGGAGAGAGTCGAAGAGGACGGAGCAGGGGTCGTCGTGGAGGTTCGGCTGTTGGGCACGGAGAACGAGGACCTCCTGAAGTGGTCGACAGGGAACCCAGCGAGCCGATGCAAGCTCCACATGTGCGGGGACGGTTGCGTGGCAGGCCTATGCGAGGACGTCCACGTGAAGAAAGTCAGGCTTCGCCTCCCGGGCGCAGGGGAGGCGTGGCTGGACAACCTGGTGGGGCATGTGCCGTTTCAGGTGGACGACATGGCGGCCTTGAGAGAGAGGGGCAACGAGCTGGACAAGGAGGATTTGAAGGCTGGAAGAAAGAGCAAGAGGGTAAAGGAAAAGGAGACAGGAGGTATGGAGAAGAAGAGGGCGAGAAGCGAGTCAAGCTCTTCAACCAGCTCATCCAGCCGGAGGAGAAAGAAGAAGAAGAAAAAGAAAAAGAAGGCGAAGAGAGGAGTAAAGGTCGAAGCAACAAAGGAGCTGAGCGCCGTGTTTGGAAACACCGGGATGGACCCGGATGTCAAGGTGAGGAGACAGGTGGTGAGGAAGGTAAAGAAAAGCCTGAGGCTGCTGCAGAGACAGATGGACACCTCCGATCGGGACTCTTCGGGAGAGGAGTCGACAGAGGAGGAGGACGCGGGGGTGTTCGAGGAGGCGCAGAGGATCAGGAGAGTTGGAGTAAGAGGCCCAGGAGTTTTGGCAGCGGCGTCCATCAACGAGATGAAGAAGTCGTTGGTCGCGGCTTCAGGGCAGCTGTGGGGCCAAAGCAGAGATCTGGCGCCGGTGGGAGTGCACTATTTCAGGACGGTGCTTCAGCTGAAACTCCATGGCGCGATGGCCCGAGAAGCGTTCACCCTGGCCTATGGTGCGGACCTCCTGGCCCAAGGGAGGGTCGCCGAGGCGATCGACTTGTTGCTGCAGCGCCTGAAATCGTTGGAGCAGGTCTCTCAGGGGATGCCGTGGCAGACTGCTCAGAAGATGGAGCTGTGCCCCTTGGAGACAGCTCAGGTAGCAACCCAGGCGGAGGCTGCGATCGCGCCCGCGGAGAAGGTGCCTGGCAGAACCCTGGAAAAGGTGCTCCTGGGAGGGAGCAGCAACCGAAGGGTGGTTGGCGAGAGCCAGGAAAAGGACGAGACGGCAAAGGCAAGAGCAAGAAAGGCAAGGAGGAGAAGGGATCAAAAGGTGCGGAGAAGAAGTGAGGAAGGCAGGAGTCAGCCAAGAGGAGGAAGTGCCAGTTTGGAGATCTCCTAAGAATGGGAGAGGTGAGGACCGGACTATGACAGAGGAGGATGAGACCTTGGATCACAGCGTCCCTCGGAAGATGACAGACCGTGGAAGAATTGAGGTACTGCCGTGCATGATGGGAGCCAACAGCGCTCCTAGCCAGGGGATGTTGCCTCTGCCCTCGGGCCGACCCGAGGTAGAGGCGCAGAAGGGAGTAGGAGAGATGCTGGGGGGCCTTACTTTTGGTGAGGGAGCAGTTCATTTGGGAGCATCGCTGTTTCAATATTTATCTTCAAGCTGCATGACCAAGTCCATTGGCAACATCTTTCCCTTGCCATCAGCCTTTTGCTCCCTCAAGAAACTATTCCCGAACAAGAAGGACGAGGAGATGAGCATTCTTCAGAACATGATTTGGTCATTGAATCATCTTAATGGCTCCCCAGTGTCTATGGTTGGAGATGGGACCCCCTGCCAACAGCGGCTTTTGGGGGGTCTCATGGATGAAGCGTGCGCCGCTGGTCGATGTTATCCCCTGCATTGCCCTCGGAAGTTGGGACGGTCGCCCTTTCTGACGTTTGTGATGCAGGGTGCAAACATTATGTCGAGAACTTCGAGAACTATCTTCTCCCGGTTGAGGACCAGGTGTTCACGAAAGGGCCAAAGGTCATGGTTCCTCCCGGGGATTGAGAGGAGCTCGCAACAAACCTAGTTCAACGAAACATTTGCAAAGTTATTGAGGAGTCAGAGTTCAGGACAAGCCCTTGTTGAATGGTCTCTTCGGGGTTTCGAAGGGCGACTGGTCAGGCGAGATTGAGGTCCACCGGCTCATCATGAACTTGATACCCTTGAATCGTATTTGTCGGGGTATTGAGGGCGACATTGCTACTCTTCCTTCGTGGAGTTCTATGGGACCACTGTCGCTGGATATCGATGAGGACCTTCTCATTTCAAGCGAGGACGTGAGATGTTTCTTTTACATTTTTAAAGTACCCCTTTCTTGGCATAGGTTCATGGCTTTCAACCGCCCTTTGCCTAAAAGCCTCTGTGAAGGGAAATCTGGTACATGTTACCTGGCGGCGACTGTTCTTCCTATGGGTTTCAAGAATTCTGTGAGCATTGCCCAACATGTACATCGGTATGTTTTGCGGCAGGGCTTGATGAACTCAGGTCGCCTAAATGGAGGGGATCAGGAGTTGAGGCGTGACAAGCCTTTTCCTTCTTCTAGCAACATGTTCCGTATGTATTTGGACAATTTTGACGAGCTCACAAAGGTGAACAAGGACCTAGCCGCCACGTTGAAGGGAGAGTTGACTCCTACTGTGTTGGCCCTTCAGGAGGCGTATGCAAGATGGAACATCCCAAGGCACCCCAAGAAAGCTGTGGCCCTTCAATCTCAGGCAGAAGTACAGGGAGCTGTGGTTGACGGGGTGCGTGGCGTTGCTTATCCAAAGGTGGACAAGATCCTGAAGTATGTGGTTTTGGGGCTGAAATTAGCCAGTTCTACCTTTAGCACGCAACGACAAGCTCAGATTGTGGGAGGGGGTTTCGTTTATATGACTATGTTCCGTAGGCCCCCCCTTTCGGCGCTGAACCGCATATGGTCTTATATTAAGAGCTTCGAAGGTCTGAAAGACGGATCCGTCCTACGTACTCCTGAGTTGGTCAAGATGGAGATCTTGAGGTTTGTGGGTTTGGTTCCCCTTGCACATTTTGATTTCCGTACAGAGATCCAGGGGATGGTTACAGCCAGTGACGCTTCGTCGACGGGGGGAGGCGTAACCCGGAGCAAGGGCCTGAGCCCGTGGGGAGTTATAGCCTCCCAAAGGCCACAGCGAGGCAGCGAGGTGACCTTCCTGAACCCTTTGATTTTTGCGGGGTGGTGACCGTTGGGCTCTTCGATGGCATTGGTGCACTTCGAGTTGCGGCGGAGGCCTCGCGGCTGCCATTGCTGGGTCACATTGCTGCCGAGAAGAACGCAGAGACAAGGAGAGTTACAGAATCCAGGTACCCTGCCTCCCTTATGTGGGAGGATGTTACTACGGTGGATGCCGAAGTGGTAAGGGGTTGGGCCACTCATTTTTCGCAGGCAAGTTTGATCATCGTGGGAGCTGGGCCCCCGTGCCAAGGTGTCAGTGGACTCAACGCTGACCGTAAAGGGGCCCTTAAAGACGAAAGGTCGTGCTTGTTCGCTCATGTTCCTAGGATACTGGAACTGGTTAAACACTTTTCCCTGGTGTCAAGTTCGCCTTCTTATGGAGTCAGTTGCTTCAATGGACGACACGGACCGTCTCCTTATGTCAGCATCTGTGGAGCTATCACCCGTTCGAATTGATGCAGCAGGAGTTTCAGTCGCACATCGACCTCGACTTTACTGGTTTGATTGGGAGGTCCCTGACATGCCAAACGTTCATAGGAAAGACGGAGCCGTGGTTGACATCGAGCTTGACGCCTCTATTGACCCCAGCATTTATTTAGAACCTGGATGGTCCATGAGGGGAACTGAGAAACTACCGACCTTTACCACATCTCGACCTCGAAATTTCCCTGGGCATAGGCCGGCGGGACTCAGCAAGTGTTCCCCTGAGGAGCGTCAGAGATGGGAAGACGATTCTTTTCGTTTCCCCCCTTACCAGTACAGGACTTGTTACTGTCTTTTCAACAAGGCTGGCGAGGTTCGTCTGCCCAATGTACGAGAGCGAGAGGCAATGATGGGGTTTCCCATCAACTACACTGAGAACTGCCTCCCGAAAAGTGGTTCAACTCCCACACGCGGCTCACGCTTATTGGCAATTCGTGGAACGTGACAGTCATCACTTTTCTTTTGAGCTGCTTGGGATCTGTATTGGGTCTATGCCCGCAATTGACCCTTTCAGACGCAGTGGAGGCTACAAAGCCTGGCACAGGACGCAACTTTATGGATTTTTTGCAGAGACCCCCCCTATCGTTTTCCCGAAAAAGAGGGTCGAAGGAGGAGGAGCTCACTCTCGCCAAGAAATTCCTCAACCATGTCAGTTTGAAGGGAGAGGATATTTTAGTCCACTCGTCCGCTGAGGAACAGTTGAAGTTTCATAGGTTGCGGGCTAGCATCCCTTCGCAGTGTTGGAGGTGGGTGACTGTTGCTGGGTGGGGTTGGAAAGGAGACCCCGAGCACATTAATTGCCTGGAGCTCCGGGCCATTTTAACCAGTGTCAGGTGGTGGATTGAGAAACGCAAGGTGGCTCGTGCCAAATTTATTCACTTGACGGACAGTTTAGTATGCATGCATTCCCTTGCCCGAGGGCGTACCAGCAGTCGCAAACTTCGCAGAACTTTGACCCGCATCAATTGTCTTCTTTTGGCCTCCCGTTGTTTTCCGGTGTGGGCGTATGTCCACACGTCCCAGAATCCGGCCGACCGACCGAGTCGGCGTAGTGTCCGGAAAAAATGGGTAAAATGAGCCCTAAATGTGTGGAAGGGAGAACCAAAGAAGACAGGGTCAAAATTCGCAAGCGACTTGGAAGTTTAAAACAAATCACAGTTCAGCCAGCTACTCGTGTCCGGTATGACCGAGCTTTGAAAGGATTCTTTTCCTTCCTGAAATTTAATGGGAAGGTTCTTCCGACTGATCAATCCTTCTTGGATGAGTTGGTCGGCGAATATTTGGAGCATTTATGGGCAAATGGTGAAGGCAGGGCCCTGGGGTCTGATACTTTGGCCGCCATACAAGATGCGCAACCCCAGGTACGAGGCAAGCTCCAGCAAAGCTGGAGGCTCACGAAGACTTGGGTTTCTAATGAAATGCCAAATCGTGCGCCTCCAATTTCCGAGGATATCCTTCACGCGCTAGTTGGTCTCGCGCTTTTCCGAAAGGATCCGCTTTTTGCCCTTTCACTCCTTGTCGGCTTTTATTCCATGTTGAGGACTGGCGAAATTTTGGGTATAATGAAATCCCATGTTTCTCCGGGAGTTGGATTTACTCCCGCAGTCATTTCACTTGGTCTTACCAAGGCTGGTAAGCGGCAGGGTGCCGCCGAAAGCGTCACCGTGTCAGTCGCGGATGTAGTTCGTCGACTCTCACAGTGGAAGGAGTCTTCGGTGACTCCCGTCAACTTGTGTCCCGCGCCCCATAAGTGGCGTCAGAAGTTCGCGCAGTATCTCAAGGATCTGCAATTGGACGCTTTTGAATTTCGTCCATACAGTTTAAGGCGCGGTGGGGCAACCTTTTGGTTTCGTAAACATGGGTCTTTGGATAAGATTCTTGTCCAAGGACTAGCCATTCAGGCTGAAATGAAAACACCCAACCATCCGGATGTGGGGGTGTTCAAAAACCAGTATCTGGCCGCGGTCAAAGCATCGTTGCCGAAATTTGAGCATGCCAAAGGCAGGACTGGGGGACGTGGAAAGAAGGTCAAAAGTGAGGTCGAGGGGTAATCCGACCCTTTTCAAAACCGCCCTGAGGGATGACGGCGGTTGGAGTTTTAAGGAGCCGAGGGGTAATCCGACTCGAAAGACTCAACCCCCTTTTAGTTTCTGGGCTTGGCCAGACAAAGTGGGGTGGTCTTTAACCAAGGCTGGGGCTGGGGCTTACCTGGGCTTGGCCAGGAAGACTCCGGGGTCTTGAATAACCTACTGGGAAGAGGTGTTAGTATTTAATGCAGGTTTCAAGTTTCAATTTTTCAGACAAATCTGGTCTTGCAGCGCGGAAAAGAGCAAGCCAGAATGAATCTTTGATGTAACGCCCCGGTATGTAAAGATGAATTAGGTTTGCGTTCCGCCAGATTTCGGCTTGCGGGCCACACCCTCCCGCCCAGTAGTGAGGTCGAGGGGTAATCCGACCCTTTTCAAAACCGCCCTGAGGGATGACGGCGGTTGGAGTTTTAAGGAGTCGAGGGGTAATCCGACTCGAAAGACTCAACCCCCTTTTAGTTTCTGGGCTTGGCCAGACAAAGTGGGGTGGTCTTTAACCAAGGCTGGCCCCGGGGTCTTGAATAACCTACTGGGAAGAGGTGTTAGTATTTAATGCAGGTTTCAAGTTTCAATTTTTCAGACAAATCTGGTCTTGCAGCGCGGAAAAGAGCAAGCCAGAATGAATCTTTATATATATACTCATATTCCTGTATTGCCGAGACGTGTGTTCTCCTTTTTAAACCCTCTGACCCATTGCTGTATTGCTTGGGTTGGCCCATCCCGTTTGCTCGGAGCAGACCCCTATTTGTTTGCCCTGGAGGATCTCTGGAAAGAGGTCACCGAGACCTTTACCAACGAGGAGGATGAGACCGTCACTGAGACCTCGGCGCTGGAGGCGGATCCGGGCACCAAAGGCGCGGAGCTGCGGGACTATCACCCCTGCGAAGTGGCGAAGAACGCCGGGGGGGTCTTCGGCAACTTCGGCGGAGGCGCGGCTGTTCGGATCCGAGCCGCGCGTTTCTTTCGCCGAGACGCGCGTGCGTTGTCGCCCTTATTTGGGGCGCCAGGAGATGGCTCCATGGCCCCGGAGAACATGATGTACAGCGACTCGGGTTACATCAGCGTTTTTGTGAGGCTTCCAAGGGTACACAGCCCTGCAGCCGTCACACCACCTACCTTTTTTCTAGCCAACTCCACGAAGCACGCTCACGTTTGACCCTTGGGCAGTCCAAGTAGCTCAAGTGACATGGCCGCGACAAAAGCCTGGACAGACAGATTGTTTTTTGTTTATATATTTCCCCCCGCCCTTGTTTAACGATGCTTCTAAGCAGCCACCAAGGTGACTGGAACGACTGCATGCAAGGCGACATCGAAAGAGACTTGCTTTCTGCACAGGGTGACTACAAAGGTGCGCTTTCGGAGCTACTTGTCAAAGCAGGATTCAAGAAAAAAGGGGGTCGGCCATCGACTCGCAGAAATCGGGTACATCAGTCAACTATCTAGTTGTGTCATGGCAGAAGTCTGCACCAACCTTGCGCAAGAAGGCAATTTGACTGTGACATCACGCCATGTCCACGCTTGATGACTCGGGACTTGGCCTTGCGCGGTTTTTCTCCGCGTTGCGCTCCAGCTTTGCGCGGGCAGGCTCCATTTCTTCTTTTTCAGAACTTAATGCCTGTTGCCAGCGCAGAAGGTGTAAAGTCGCGAGGTGTCGGAGGCACCGGGCCTGAAGGCAACCTGGGCTTCATGCCATCCGATCGTTGCTCTCGGACCCTTCGTTCCTTTTTTTGGCGCCCAGGTTTGTCCAAGACATCACCCAGGAGTCCCTGGGTGTCGTCTGCTCGATCGTACCAGATACCATGATCGCCCCCTTCGGAGTTGGGGTTGCTATCAATCCTGGCGAGATTTGCGGGCAAGCAGCGGACCTGGTGGGCGCGATCAAAACATTCGCGGGCCCAGCAAGCAGCTATCACTTCGCAAAGAAGGAGTGGGACATTCAGCGGGCGGCTTGTCAGAGAAGTACAGTAGGTGTCAAGCATGTGTTGATTACCCTTTGCATCTGGAGAGTAGATTGCAACAAATGTCAATCAGCAACCAAGGAAGGATACGCCGCTTGCAATCCGTTGCAAATCGGCTTTGCCCGTGCCTTCTGCGACATACACTGCGTTCGAGATGCCGTTATTCGCGGGGATCGTTCAATCATTCGAAATCTCGAGGCAGCCACCAAGAAGACCAACACCAATCTGCAGAACATGGTGAAGTGGTCAGTTGACACTGCCAGGGGAGAAACCGGATGGTTGGCAGACAAGTTGGACTACATGCATGCCATCAACACTGCATACCTCCAGCAGATCCATGACTTCTTGGCTCCGAGCCTTGATCAGCAGAAGGCGCTGAAGGGCATGCGCATGGCCACGGACAGCATGTTCGAGGAGCTGTCCGGGTACGCTTCGGCCTCCTCCTTTGATGAGGTCTCCCGGCTCACGGTGCACGATGCTCTACAGAGCTTCCTACGGGCCAAGGACCCGTCGAATGCAACGGAGGGCCGCGGGTTCTTGCGGAAGCTGAGTGACCTTCACCAGATCCTGGCCCGATCTGGCAAAAGCAGGTCGGCCGTGCTGGGCCGGCAGATGAACCGCCAGGCTGGGCGATAAAAAATCGGGGGTGAGCAGATTCAGAGAATTTTCGCGCTGCGCTCAGACTCTTCAGCTGAAAACAGCCAGGGGCTTTGCGAGTTTCCACAGGTGCGGCATTTGCAGAAGATGGCCCAGCAGCAGCTCAACGTTCTCGGGGTCTACAGGACAGAAATTGGCCGCAGCTGAGGTTCGGGGCCAGGGAAAAGGCACCTTGTGAGTCTTCAGAACCCTAACGAGAATGTGAGGTGTGGCCAGGTTTTCAGCTTGGCACGTTTGCGTGGCTGTTGAACTTGTGAACTTTCAGCGGAGAGTTCGAAGGCTTCCAGGGGCGAGCCATGTGACCGCGGTTGCAGCCATGTGCCTTCGGGTTGGTGCGAGGATGGAGAGCAACGCTTCCAGAGCTCACCGCTCGCTGGAGGGCAACACCTTGGTGGCCCTGGACAGGAGAGGTGTGCATGTAGCGGTGGGTAGGCCGTTCGTAGAGAGTCTCTCGTTGATGTTTTTCAAGGGCCGTTCAATGGCAGTTGGTGACGCAAGGACTCAATTGCTGCCCCTTTGTGGTATGTTTTTTTTTTTTTTTTCCGCCTGGTGCCAGACGGGCAACCGACTTGCGCGCAGGATTTGGTGGCAGCTCCGCATGAAGCTGGAGAAGTATCTGGACACGGCAGAGGCAGAGGTGAAGGCCTTCCAAAAGTCCATCGATGACATGGACAGCTACGAGGGTTGTCAAGCAGGCTTCTCTTCACTCGTCTCCAGCTACACGCACAGAGCCTTAGCGGCTTTTAGGGGATCACTGGGCTCGTGCAAGGATTCTGCGAATTTGTCGGGCACAGTGTGGTGTTCTGCTTCGAGCATGTTCAAGGCTCATAGGCCTAAGGGAGTAAGGGAGTCCTAGCAACTGAATGAACCGAGCCTTGCATTGACAAGTTGTGGGCTCAGCTCTGAACTGACATTGTCCATCGCAGCGCCGCTCACCAGGCCTCCAAAGGTTCCAATGGACTGAGGTATGGCCGTCATGAGGCGCAGTCATCGTCTACTTCGGTCGACCTGGCGTGAGGCGCGGTCAGTTTCTTGAGGTTAGGGGAGGCTTAGGCTGAGTTGGAGGCCGGTGCGGGGTGGAGGGTTGAAGGTTGGTTTTGGGCTTGGGGTTGGCTCGATAGACAGCAACGGGGTTACTGTGCTGGTAGGTTTAGGGTTGGCTTAGGTTGGCTTAGGGTAGTTTTGGGGTGAATTTGGTTTAGAGTGGGTTTAGGCGGTTTGAGGTGGGGGGGGGGAGGATGGGTTTAAGGTGGGTTTTGTCAGGGTGGGTTTGGGTGTAGGGTTGGATTTGGGTGACTTTGGCGTGGGCGCTTAGACTGTAGGTTTGTGTTGGCAAGGCCAGCCCTTTCAGGCAGCAGGGCTCGTGGGGGAGTTGGCCTCGGTTCTGGTGGACAGTGGCGCCTTTGACACCTTCGTGAGAAACCACGGCTGCTCGAGTTCGGTGATGGAGGACACCTTGAAGCAGGCAGAACGGAGCAAAAGTCGGCATTTTGTTGGTCGATTCGTTTGTAGTTCGAAGGCCGGAACCGTCCCATGCTCCAAAGAAACCACTTACGATCGCCGATCTGGATCTCTGGATCATGGCTTTCACCTGAAACAAAACGAGCTTTTGCTTTTTTGCAAAGAAACCGCCCCGTACCTTACGAGGTTGCCTATCTGATAGTTATTTGGATCTCCAATCGACCCCCCCCAAAACGCTCGGCTTCGGGGCAAAAAAAAACACGTGGAAGGTGCGTTCGGCCTACTTTGGCCTCGCGCTGCTGCTGCACCGCTTCCGCGCGGCCGGGCTGGCGCAGCCCCACATGGACCAGGTGCACACGGCGGCGCGGCGCATCAACGAGGCCCATGCGGCGGCCGTGGCCCACTGCGACGCCTGAGGCCGTGTGCGTGGCTCGAAAGAATAGGGGGTTTCCCAAAGCGGCCCTTTCCAGCTCCCAACTTCCGAGCGTTGCACAGATTGCAAGTTGGATCCGACGTGTCCGATGGATCTGAATGGGATCTAAGTGCTGGGTTTTCACGGTGCTCAGCATGGCATAGGGCGGCAAAAGGAAAGAATGGTCCATCAAATCCAGCGCTTCACCGAAATCCGCTACTCGTACAGGTACGGTAGTCTATTTTGCAGCAGGCTTGCCGGCTGCCGTGGCATCGCGGAAGCTCGAGGATAGATCGTGCGCAAAAGCGCAGATGGGGCCTTGGACACCACAAAAGCCGTGGATCACAAGAAAGGATCGGGCTCTGGAAAGGCCGGACGAACTTGTTGAATCATGCATTGCCCCCATATTGTATTTTCAGCATCCTGTTGAGTTCCGAGGTCCAAATGGACAGGTTGGAGTTAGAAGATCCCCATGGTGATGTTGTGGGGCCTTTAGTCCGCTCCATGTGCAGCTCGAGCTGCAGCTGCGCGGCTGGCCACTCGTGGGTTTCAAGTCGGGTTTGAGAAGAAGCACCGTGGGTGCTTTACCGCAATGAACTGTTGGACTCCGGCGCGTTCCGTTCGATTCGATTCCCAGACCTGCAAAAACGCTTTCTTTTAGGGCATTCCTTTCGAGGGAGGTCTTTGAGAGGCAACCAAAGCCAAAAGTTAGACGTTGCGCGCTTTCCTCGTTTACCTATACAGTTCAGTGGATCCACTGGCACCCCGGACACCTTTGAGCTGTGCTTTCTCTTTAGGCGCGAGCCTCGCCGGTTTCGACTCCCAGGCTCGAGCACACGTACATGGCGCATGAAACATCAACCAGGTCCAAGCTCAAAGTCTCAAGCCCCGACCGCCATGGCGTTCTCGGGGCCGGTGCCGAACATGCCGCCGCCGCAGGTGGGGAAGGGATGAAGGGGATGAATGGACTGGTTTCTGGAGAGCGCGGAAATCAAACTATATTGGTATACATGCCCTTTGCGAGAATTCACCGGTATTTGCAGCGTTTTGTGAAAGAAGCAGAAAGACAGCGCAACTCCAAAGCAGTCTCGGCAATTCTAGTCTCCTTTTTGTTTTTGGGAGGGGGGGATCCACAAAACCAGGGCATAGATACGGGACACTCAAACACACGATACCCTGGAAGCAGTTATGTTTACACCTGCGTGCTTTTTTGTCTATGTATGAGGTTGTAGTTCTCTCTGGAAAACATGTTCGCGCCTGTTAGCAGATAGGGGGCTCCGATGTGTCATCTAAACACACCACACTGTTGGCCGTGGCTCCAACTCTACCGGCCTTTTTTTTTCGCGGGCGTCCGGGTCAACTATTAACGTTGACCTTCCCAGGCACGTGTCTGCACGGGCCCTTGGATCCCAAGCCTCTTGTGGCCTCAAGGCTTTTCGGGAGAGGGGCCGAAATGCGATACTCATTTGGTCAAAAAGCGTGAGCCGAAACTTCCGAGACAGAAGAGGTGCAGAAAGCTTCGATCTGAAGCCTTGGATCCCAACTTTCTTGTCCAGAATATTTTTTTTTTCGAACGGGGCTCTTTCAAGGGTTCCTACACCAGGAACCTCTTTGTGGGAGGCTCAATCCAAGCCCTTGGACACCACTCCCAGAAAGTTGGGAGGGGAACAGCAAGATACGGATGGCCGCACGGGCGACGAGCAAATCATCGGCCCATTTGAGAGGCTTCCGAGGTCCGTTTGCATCTGAAGGCGGTCCATATCATGCCACACCCTTCACGCTTTTATACCCCACCTTTCATGCCCACTAGGGCTCCAAATCCAAACATGGAGCCACAACGCCACTGCCACGTACTCTGCAAATCATGGAAAGAAGAAAGAAATGCCTTCCCGCAAAAGAAGAGTCCATGATTCCTTGCCAAAAGAAAATGAGAGAGATGCCATTCTCAACAAAGCCTCTATTTTTTGAGGGGCTTCATTTGTAGGGTTGAATCTGTAGGGGAGCAGCCCACGGCTGATAATGTTTCAGGAAGTCGCTTGGTGGTTCGGATTGGCTGCATAGTACCCAACACCCCCCCATGTTAGTTATACTCCGCTGATTAATATGGATCTTGGAAACACCATTCTCAGAGCACTCTCCTTTTGGGGAAACAGATTCCTTGGTTTCATGTCCCTTTGCGCTAAGAAGCCAGCCTGGAAAATCCGCCCAAGGGCCAGACCAAAGGCTCGCCTTTCCATCTTTTCGCCGTTGTTTTTGTCCCCCCCCATTTTTTCTTATTGTTTTGCCCCCAAGCCGAGATGAACCAAACAAGTTGCCACTTTGGGCAGGTCTCGTCTAAAGGACATACACCAGTTTGCGTCCAAAAACCGCTGGAGAAGGGACCTCGCAAGCTCTGTGGTTGAAACCCGCCGCCTGTTTTTGTTTTTTTCTCTTTTTTTCGTCTCTTCGCCTTCCTTTTCTCCACTGGTGGAGTTCGGAGTCAGCCAATCAAAAAGGATTTGCGCGGGCCCGCGCAAGTCAGTGCCCTGCAAAGAACGAAAGTCCATGGTTCCATGGGAGCCCCCTAGACTTCCTCATTTCTCTTTTTTTTTTGTGGCAGATCCCCTTTTCGTTTTTGTACTTAGGGTGGTCACTTCCAAAAAAAAACAAATCCCTTTTTTGCGGATAAATCCCAAGGTCACTTTCGTCAAACAAGACATGGGCCCCTTGGTCCAGTGAACCGGTCGCTGGTTCCAGTGTCAGGACAGCAGCGCCTTGAAGAGGGGCCGACGAGCGCAGGAGCTGCTGAGGCGATTGACCAAAAAAATCGGAGTTTGCTCCCCCCCGCGAAACAGTCTTGGGATAGCACCGTGTTTTTGTCTTCCTGTTGTCTTTTCTTGTTTCTGTCTTGCATGTTTCTTGTTTGTTTTTCTGTTTTTGTTTTGTCGTTGCTTCTCTGTTTGTTGACGCCATGGTGGACATGGGGAAATCTGGACAGCTATTTCGCTGATCCCAGGGTAACACAATCATTTCCGGGCCTGGTGAAGGTCGTTCACCGGGGTGGGGTGGTCCCCTTGTTTCCGGTTTGGAATGGCAACGCTTGTAGAAACGGGGGGTTTCTCAACATGTAGGAACACCCAGCCATTTTGTGGGATCCAGAAAATGGAGCCATGTGTCTTATTTTGGTTGTGGGAATTGGTGTTTGTCAAAATCGCTTTTGAACCCTAGAAACCTGCTCCAAACCACACCGCAGGGGAAATGCTGTGGGCAAAATCCACTTCGGCACCGTGATTTATTCCATCGATACTGTGGATGGATGAAATTCGCACCCACTGAGAAACCATGGGAAACCATTGTTTGTCGGTATTTACAGGGGAATCGGATCATTGCAGGGTTTCTTAGGTGGTGCAGGATAGTAGGATTTCAATTCCATTGATAGGGTTCGGTCCATAAGTGGTGCGAAAAGGATTTTCGTCCATCCACTGGAGTGGGCTGGGGGTTCCATGTTCTGTTTTTGGGAGACACCCAGACAAACCCGTGGAAAGAATGGGCCCACGGTCCATTTGGGTTAAGAACCTTGACCAGCTCTCATAACACCTAAATGTTTTTTTCCTTTTGTTCTCCCTGCAACCTACCAAAAAGGGGTGCCCTGCAAAGAAGACACGCCCCAAATTTACACCTCCAGCTTCCTATAATCATTTGCAGGGTGTGTCGTTTGGGGCCCATCAGAACCCACGCGAGACCTGGCTCCCAGTTTTCAGTTTTTGCTGCAGGGACGCGGAGCGGGTCTACGACCCCAAGCAAGAGCGGCACGGGGCCCGGCCTTTTCACGTTTGCCAGGCGGTTGGCGGTTCCTTTGGTTGGAGTCTCCCCCCCCCCCCCCGTTTTTTTTGGAGGCAATCCAACCCGTCAAACTCGTCTTGCTATGTGTTCCTTTTTTTTTTTTCCTCCGGGGCTTGAGAAGACATCCAACAAAAGAAGAGTGTCGTAATTAGTCCGTATTCTTTTTCCCAACAGCGGTAATGGGGTCAATTTGGTCCTGCGGTGCTTTTGGGGCAGGTGGGTTCCAGGCATGTGCCAAGGTTTCAGGGCTTCCTTGAAAGGAGGGGTTTGCCCTTGTTCTCCCTGGAGGGTAATTATCCCCTCAAATCCGGGTCTGCTTTCGAGTCTGTCAAAATCACGGGCAAATTCTTTCCGCGTCGGCCCTCTCTTGCCAAGAAGGCCTCCAGATTTTTTTTCCACAGGGAACCCCTTGCTGTTTCTCACCTCGACTTTTGGGAAATGGTCGAGGTTGCAAACAGGTTGGTTTAAAGCGAAACCAAAAGTACAACCACCTTAAACCTTTTTCGGGGTCCCCCCCGCTTTGACACATGCCAGCATTGTTGCTTTGTTTTTTTTTGAAGGGGGAATTGCGAGAAGTTGCAAACCGTGCGTTCAACTCTGATATTTTCTTTGCCATGACATTTTAATGGGGCATATTGTGGATGGACGAAATCCTGCACCACCTGAGAAACCATGGAATGATGATTTTCCTGTAAATACCAACAAACAATGGTTTCCCATGGTTTCAAAGTAGTGCAGGACTTCGTCCATCCACAGTACCACCCAAGGGGTAGACATCAAGCCTCACCTAAATGATGCTCACCAAAGGGTTTCCGAGGGAAAATGATACCCCTTTCTCCGGCGCGGGCAGAGGCAATGGGAGGGAAAGTACAAGTTCTTCAGTGAGCTGAAGATGAAGGCGTGCCAGCTTGGGGGGAAGGGACACGGCCTAGGCTTCCAAAGCTAATCTCAGGAGATGTGGGTGTGCATCTTTTTGGAGCTGGGTCTGGGTTGCTCAAAAGACAAACCGCAGGGCAACGTGCATTTGGGGTTAGCTCATCTGAACACCCAAATGAGAATGTGATTGGCATGGAAGGGGGTACTTGGATGGCCAATCTGTTGAGCGGTTCACTTTAAGTGGGTGGGGCGAATCCCTTGAGGGCGTATCGGGGTTCGCCGTTTGCGCTTACAAGATTTGGCTCGAGCCGCTGGTGTCAAGTGGCTTGAGAAGCCTACATAGGTGTCCTTTTTGGTTGTTTTGATTAAAAGGGTAGAAGGCGATTCCTGGTTTCCCTGGTGGTTCAATCATCTACCAGGCTCATCTATTTTCCAAAAAGGACACCTATGAAGCCTATGGTCTTTTCGGGATATCTGGAGATGAGCGCGCACCCCAGGGAGGTGGATCAGGCAAGGAGCCTATGGAGGCATTTCTTGGGTGGGTTCCATCCGGCGCAGAGTGAGTAGTCATTGCCTGAAACCTTTGGCCAGCGAGGAGAAATGAGTTCTTTGACTGCCCCCAACTCTGGATGCCCGACATATTGCAAGCAAAGAGCAGGGGCATCCCGCTGACTTACTACACTTTGCCAGGCTTTGGTGGTGAGCTAGCTGGGGGTTGGAAGGGAGCCAAGGAGCTGTGGGTATCGACAGTTCAGTTCTCTTTAGCTCCCGTTCACCCTCAATCGAATCGCCAAATGGACTCCAGCAGTGAGCTTTGCGGCCGTATTTGTTCGGAAACCAAAGGAAGCCACAGCGCTGGTGGCTGTCCGTTTGCTGATTCCCTAGAAGTGGCGGAAGTGACGAACCTTCCGTGGGTTCAATGGAAGCCCAACCACTAAACCCACCCAAAAACCCGAACATGTCCGGAAATGGACAGCTGGAAGCTGCCAAGAAGCATTCTGCTGGTGTTTGATCTTTTGGGAACTCGGAGCAACCCTGAAAACAGTTGAATGGGCCCCTTCTGCCATTTGTGTTTTCTTGCTGGAGACTCGGTATTTTGAGACTCGGTGGTTGTAACACTTTAGGAAGTTTAACTTGCTGGTGCGATAGTCAGGGAATGAGAAATGGAATGACCCCCCCGGAAAAATCATCCAACCTGAAGGGGACCCCTGGGCTCATTCTCACATGCTCTACGCACCAGCAAGGAACTTGGTGAGATAGGGAATGACCGAGTCCGGGTTTTGGGAAACCGGAAGGAGATTCCCATCAAAGGAAACAAATCGGGGACAGGTTTTCCAGGGGTCATTTCATTTCTCATTCCCTGCCTATCAAAGCAGCATGGGTATCTGTCAAAATTAAACCACCATGTCCGCATAATCCGGGGGGAACATGGAACCTTTCAAACCTGGCTCAAAACTATTTGCATGCACCATTTCTTTTGAAGAGTGCGCTTGTTGGGTTTGTTTTAAAGGGAAGCGAGCAGGAAACGAAGCAAAAAAAAGGTTCCGAGTCCTATGTCGAGACACGCCCATTTTTCCTACTGTGGATGGACGAAATCCTGCACCACCTAAGAAACCATGGTTTCCACGTGGTGCGAAATAAGAGGATTTCGCAACCATCCACAGTATGTTGGGTACCAAACATTGGTCGGATCTCTTTTTTGAGTCGGATCTCTTTGGTGGCTGCCAAGGTCAAAGTTCCCTTCCGCCTCGGCAGGTGGCCTACCGGACCTATGCCCGAGCTGGGGCCTCCGGGGGGCCTGAGGGGGGGCCTGCATGAAAATGCACCTGGATCACTTTTTTATGGAAGTTTTTCTTTCTTTCTGTTTTTTTAAATACGCCTGGAGTTTTTCTTTCTTTTTTTTTTTTTTTTGTGTGTGTGTGTGTGTTGAGGGCTTCTAATTTGGGTGTGTCTTAATCTGGGGGTGCCCCGTAAGAATGGCTAATTCCTGTTAGTTTCCCTTGAAAACAACCCCAACCTCAAAAACGACTCGTGTTTGCCCTGAAGCAGTTGGAACCAATCAGTTTTTGAGCAACTCGGTCGGGGTTTTGTCAGTCTGGTTTCCACAAGTGTGAAGGAACCCCTCTCAAACGGGACACCTCCCCCATTCATCCTGGGTTTCATGAATTTGGACCTTTGGGGGGTCCTCGTATTTCTTTGTGCCATGCTGACTTAGGCAAAGGCATTCAGACAGGCCGTGGTGGAATGAGCTTGCTTTTCGTGGGCTGATGTTTATACGGAGGGGTTGCAACATTTCGGCCCCCTTCCCTTTCCCTGAATGGCGAGGTCAACTTCATGACTTCCAGACAGAAATTGGGTGAATCAGGGGAGAGGAACATCGATCAGGAGAGTTGAGCTGCAGTTGAGCTGCGCCATGGACCATTGAGACTGGGCAGCCCCTGTTGGGGCCCCTGACATGGACACAAAGGCCCGGTGGCCAGGGATTCGATGGATTCACCTTTTCGCCGCCGGGTTCAAATTTCACCTCTGAGGCAGTCGTGGAACGAAATCCCTAGGATGGGAAGTCTGTATTCGGCCCATTTCCCAAACTCAAGGTATCCTATTTCCTGAAAGAGACAGAGTTGTGCGGGTCGCCGTTTTCGGAATGAAAAAAGGACAACTCTCTGCCGCGCTTTTGGTCTGCAGCCCATGTTTCCAATGCTGCAGAATGGACTCGCCCACTTCATAGCAGAATTTCAGATCTACAGTGTCAGATCTACCTGGACAGTTCCCGAGGTGTCAAACAAGAGGTGTCAAATCTACCTGGACAGTTTCCAGACCCTCATCTTGTTTGACACCACCAAGATCTACCTTGGGAACGTCGAGGGTGTCAAGCAAGATGCGGGGCGTGCAGTTTGCTCGCTCTCGCGCAGTGTGCCGAGGCCAGGCACGACCCCTTCAACAAAGACCCGCGTCTCGGCTGACTTTGGGTCGGGATAGGCTGTGAAGCGAAGAGACAAATATGTTTTTTCTTGCATATAAGGAGTCTTTTTTTTCTTCTTTTTTTTGGGTGTGTGTGTGTTCCGGTTAGTTGGTCTCTTATTTTAGACACTTTAAACCAAGTTAAGCAAAATAAGTGCGTGTTTGTGTCTGGCGTGACGCCATTTTTCCCACCGACGCGAGTTCCAAGAGGGTGGAGAGGCCTTTGGGTCTCGTTTTTGAGACCCGTTTGGATGGGTTTAAAGGGACTCCAAAAGGAAGCCGCCTGTTTGGAGGGTTCCCCTATCTTGAGAAAGAGCATACTTGGAGGGTTTTGGCCAGGCAATGCCGGCTTGGGAGGCTTTGCCTTGGCCTTCCGTTGTTGCTTTTCTCTCAAGCGGCGAAAACGAGTTGGGCATGCCTTCCGGGTCTCTGTCAAGGAGGCGCCTTTCTTTCCAGGTCTGGGTACGTACACATTTCAGATGAGCGTTTCGAGGAGTTGATCCGATAGTTTTGGCAGCGGCTTTGGATTTCGGGGTTCCAGGCAGGTTCTGAGATTCTGGGGTTGTTGGGGATACTTGGGCTTATTTTTGGGGTTCCAACATGTACTTCACGAGGTGTCCAACGTCTTTACACTGCAAAAATCGTATTAGCAACCAAGTTCTCTGCATGCGAAAGGGAGGAATTCGCCGCCACAGGGACCTTCTCCTTCTCCTTCTCCCTCTTTTTCCGCAATCCCCCGGCAAAAAGCGAATTTCGACGGCAGTGAACCCGTCAACTGCTCCTTTCCCTGGCTCACAAGCTTCAGCACCCGAAAGCCGAGAATCATCTCTTTCCTTTGAGCGAGCAACCGTTGGGAACACCTAAACAAGCAGATGTTGCAGGAGCAAGCCACTTGAAAGACCGAAAATCCTCAACGAACGATTCTAGGGTTTCAACCATGGTTTCATTTCGTGGCGCGAAATGGATTTCGCAACTATCCGCAGTATGAATCCAGGTGATTTTGTCGGGACAACAACTGGAAGCACCCAGCCAAGAAGTTGGTTCCCCAATCCTAGCAAAGTTCCGTCGGTCAGGGCCTGGGGCAGATCGGTGCTGGCGCGGTTCGCAGACTACTGCACCAGCAACAACATCAAGTTCGAGGAAGGTTTTGGCTCCGGTGAGGTGATTCGACTTCTCACCTAAATCCCGGATTTGGGGTACATGGTACACTCCCTCAAACTAACATCGAAGCTCCCAGAAGGCTTCCTGGAATCAAGCCTCCCACAGGGCCCCCGGGAGCTTCCATTGAATCGCCTGGAGGGGAGGTTTTGGGCTTTGGACGATTGGGCATCCGATTTCGGAGGGTTCGGCTAGCCACTTGTCAGCTTGAAATGAAGAATCACTAGTGACTTGGGGGTGTCTTTCTCGAGGGTACCTGTTTGTTGGGCGAACACGGGAAACCAAAACGAAAAAAGGAAATCCATTTTCCGGAAAAAAACGACGAGCCAGGGTTGCCAGACCCAACATGGAAGACCCCCTTAGGTGAAGGGAAATCAACAGGAAGCCACGAATTTTGGAGGTTCCCCTACCCACAACCCTTGACCCGCAAGGCCCCAAGGACCAACAAGAATTGGAGGGTCACAGACATGGGATCCGCACGAGGGACCCCACTGGTGGATTTCCTTTTGGCTTCCCTTTAAGCCACCCCCAAAATGGGTACATGGGCACACTCGAAAAGACGCTCCGAATCCCCCGAAATCACTCAAGACAGCGAGTGACAAGACCGACGAGCCACAGAGATGCTCAGCTCCGGCTGTTCACCCCATGTTTGGATGGCAAACCTTCTCTTTGTTGGTTCCACGGAGCAACGGCCGATGCTAAGAGTTCCCTTCCAGTGCTACCAAGGAGCGAACCGAATCCTGAAGGGGGGAAGATGCGAGGTACCCTCCCGCCAATTGATGAACAGTCGGAATTTGGCGTTCGGGATGTTGGGGGAAAATGGTCCAACCCCCCCCCCCCCCCCGGAAACGTCAGGTTCCCTGCTAGTTGGTGAGGGTATCTCAAAATCGAGAGCTCCAGAGCTTTGTCTTTTTAAAAGAACGCGCGCACCTTGCGAGGACATCTTCGCACAGGCTGATCTGAACAGTGCGGGGGGGCTGAGTGGCGGTCGGCAGAGGTGGGGTGACAAGCGGTTGGCTCGCTTTCTCCAGGAAGGAGTTTTGGGTTTTCGATGTTTGCGCCACCCATATGAGTTCCATGTTCCATTTTGAGACAATTCTAGCGCTCAACCTTCAGCCGAGCCGGTACCCCTACCTCGCTGAGGCTTGACCCAAGGAAATGAAAGAAGAGGTGCTCAGAGGGCTCACTTTCCTTACACCCCGACCAAAAAAGTGCACTTCCGACCTTTTGCAAAACAAATGCCAGTTGAAAAGCCTGACTTTTTTACGGGACGGTAACATGGATCACAAGGAAAAACACGAATTACTTACAAATCTACGCTTGGTTGGCTTCTCTTCGATTGGGAATTTCGAAAGGTTTCTTGACTTTTCCCAGGTGAGTTGAAGTTGGTCAACATAGCCAATAGTTCATGGTGCATTTGGAGGGACATGAGGCTTGGTCTCTCCAAGTTTTCTGCAAGCAGGGAGCGAAGGGCAACTTCCGCGGAAACGGAACCACACATTTTGACAGACCAAGCCATGAGCCGCTTCGGTTTAAGCTGAAGGGCTGACCCGGGTTCTAAGAGAGGGGTCCGATTGCTTGCAGACAGACAGGTCAAGTCCGAATTCAAGCCACGTCTTAGAATTCCGCGGGTCACTGTGGATTGGGCCGCAAACGTCAACAAAACAACCAGCATGCCGGCCCAATTTCCTTGCCTCCTCTTGAAGCGGCACTGCTGTGGGCGGGTCTTTTTTAGAGGTTGTCCTGGTGTTTTAAAGGGAAGCTACTCATCTTTTTTGGTTGGGTGAGTTCTCTTTTTGAAACAAACCCATGATGAAACAGAGGGCGTTTTGTTGTGGACCTATCTGCTGCAACCCCTGCAAAAAGGCCCGGGGTTTTGTGGGTTGCGATTCTGGTGAAGGCTCGCGTTTCGACTGCTTGCCGATGAATGCTGTCCCAAAAAAAAGATATGGGCATGAGAGTGTCTCGTTTTCAGACCCCCAACCTGGATTTCGGTTTTCCCCCCAAAACGGGTTCCTGCCAAAAAACAAGCCACGGCCACTCTACGGCGGCTGCAGGACATGCGCCCGCTGCGTTTTCAAGCCGCTTCGGACATCGAAGCCGTTTGGTTGAGGATCAGTCTTTGAGCCGGCCTGAGATCAAGCACGCGCTGCATAGGCGGGCAAAGCATGATGTTGATGGGTGAAACATTGAATAGGGACCGTAGGCTTTGATCTTTGGTTCCATTTGACTGTAGCTCAGAAAGATGCACCAAAATGGCACCTTGGTAAATGGAACCAAAGACTAGCACCTGCGTAACCCTGGCCCTTTCATTTTGAGCCACACCCATTTATCAGGGCAACCCTTTTTCTGGTGCCTATTGTTGACCCACAGCCATTGGAGGACTGGCGCCCGTTGCCTGTTTTTTTAAAACTCAAGGAACACATGGTTTGTTTGACCCAACACAAGGATAGGCCCCAATAGCGACAGCAGCCCTGATCTTTTGCTCGCAATTCCCGCTCTTGAAATAAAGTTCGAGACGGTGGGAGAGAGGATCCAGCAAAGGGCTGGCAGGGAGCGGTAAGTTCCATTCTGGGTTGGTTGTGTCGCGCCGAAGCTGCCCTTCCTTCCCCGGAACCTGAAACGATATAGGCAAGATATATGGTTTCGTTTCTTATCATACTCGCCCGCAACCTCTGAGGGGTACACCTTGATGCGCAACCAGGCTCCATCTAAAGTTTAGCTTCAAGCTTGCACAGCTATATCTGTACAAGCGTTGGGCAAACCAAGACGCCTTTTGTTTTGGCGGACACCTGGGACATCATCAAAACACCACCGGGAACAGCACCACCGGACCGACTGAAGGCACCACCGGGACTCCGCCAAAATACCAGAGACAGAGACACTGCCGAGTTTGCGCGCGCAGAACTTGAGCCCTCCCTCAGCGGAACGAGTCGTGATATTTGTTTTTGGTCTCTAAGCCGACCTGACAATCGGCGCCAGTCCCCTCATATTCATATTTGGGTGCCTGGAAGCCAGTAGAAGCAGCCCGGGAAAGCAAGCGCTGCATCAGATGGGCTGCGCCCAATCAGAAACGCCCCACCATGCTCTCCAAACAGGGATTCCCCAAAATTGAGAAAACTGTGATGCCTTCCCTTTGCTTTTCCCTTCCAACGCAGGGCAAAAAGTCGAGAACCGGCTCCAACAGCGCGGTCTACCCAGCTCCCAAAGTGCCAGGGTGCTGCCCTCCTTGTCGGACCAGGAGGTCATCGCCGTCTTTGATGCAGCTTGGCGCGGCCGCGTCTTTTGGTTTTTTGGTTTCGAGTCGAAATGGTGGCTGGTAGGACGACCGGACTCGGAGCTGGTCTCCAAGTTTTCTTCAAAGGAGCTACCAGGAAAGCTGTAAAGACATGGTAGGGACGAATTTCGGTTTTTTGGGGGAACCCTCCAAGATGGTGGCTTTCGTTGTTTTGTTTTGAAACCACCAAAACGGGGATGCCCTTAAAAAGGCATACCCACACGTGGCCCTTTTGTTTTTCAGGGAACCCCTCCAGTGCAGCCCTCTTTGCCATGGGGGTCCATTGACCGTTCAACGCGGACTCCCCACCGTTCTCCTTTCGGCCGCCGGTTTGCGTTCCATTTGCAGTCAGTTTCCCCCCAAAACAATGATTCCCTACAAAAGACCCCAATGAACGTCCAAGTGGCTAGGTCTCCCGGTAGTGCCCTTTTACCCTTTTTTGGGGAGGGCTCCCCTACTAAAATAGACTACAGAAAAAGAATATACTGGGGTGGTTCAGAGTCAATCCAAATGCCGGACCACTGGTTTCCCTTGTCATAGTGGTGTGTTTAGATGGGGGATTGCAGAACATCGGGTTACAGGGATCTCTTCTGCCATGTTTCTGTTGCTTTTTTAGTTTGACTAACTACGAACCAGAATCAAAGCTATGATTGGGGTAGGTTTTGAGTCTCGTAGCTTTTCAGTGGCACCCCCTTTGCCGTCTTTTTGTGTTTCGGCACTACACAACCCACGAAAACTGAGGCCTCCGCCAAGCATGCTGTGGATGGGCGAAATTCATTTAATGCACCACTTGGGATGGATGAAACCCTATAGAGAATGGAATGAACCACCTACCAACAGGTGCAGGAATGCTGCCATCCACAGTATATATACACTATATATATATATATATGTATACATAGATATGAAGCAGAACCAGACAGTCTTATTCTTGATGTGCCCCGCTTTCGTGGGCTACATGAAGCTCTTGCAAAGGGCAGACGAACAGCAGGGGAATCAAAGCACGCCGTGTGCGATTTTTCTCTACCTGGACACGTCCACGCTACTCAAGCTGGGAGACTGCCCGACAGAAAGCTGGGGATGGGCCGCGCGCTGGAGTTTCTAGGTCATCGACGAGGACAAGAGCGGGGCAGTTGCGGCCTCGGCGAGAGAAGGGGCTCTCGATCAGGAAGCAACCGCTGGTCCCGGAAAGGCAACCAAAAGGATGACCCTTCCTGCAGCTAACATGGCACCTGTGGAGAGGTAGCTCAAAGATAATTTTCTTTTTGAAGGGAGCCCCCTATCAGTTTGCCATGGCAAGGTGGGAGGGAGGGTACTAGTTTCCAGGTCTGAGGGCCCCTGGGAGTCCATACATCGGCTCCGCGGCGCAAGCCGCAAGCCGCCCTCGCACGAGTTTTCATGAGTGGGACTGGAGAAGCTGGAAGCAGGAGATTCAAAAACAGGTGGTGTTGCTCCAGCAAAAACCTGCAGAACCTGCTGCGAAACTGAAGAAACAACATCATGCGTTCTTTTCAGCATTCGCAGGCTTGGAGCCACGCAAGCATTTGGCAAGCTCAGAGCGCCCGAGCAACTCATTGGTGTGAGGTGACGCAGGCTTGCCAATTTGATTGACTGACTGAAGTCGGGAGAATGTACGGATCAGCCCTGCAAGTGGGAACGATTGCTGCTTCGGATTTGGGGTAGAGCCCCTTTAGTCAAGTTGCACCCTATGGTCTTTACGCCTCCCTGACTTGGATGATACAGGTCGCTCTAATATTGATGAACCAGCAGCCATCCTGATCAGAAAAGGCTTGCAGGTGTCAAAACCAGCCGAACACCGGTTCCGAGCCGTTGAGTCAATGCGGATGATCATGATCCAAACCGGAAACCAAGGCGGGGTCCCTATGTTTGACGCTTACCCATATCTCCTGCCTTGTCTCTCGGATTCGCAAACTTGGGTCGACACCAGGGTGGCTGCTATTTCCGGGAAGACTGAATACTGGGGGTGTACGAGGGAAAAGGAGATCCATTCGCATGGGCTGATTGGTTTGTCTCGATTGGGGCCTGGGTGCCATTTTGACAGAGGACGAACGCCCAGATTCCAAGGAAAAACTAGCCGAAGTCCAACCAAGGGACCAAGTGGGCTGGGCTGGGGGCACCATAAGCTTCCTGATTCGGGGCCAGACTTGGGGGACATGGATTCGTAGGACTGCGTGGGATTTTGAAGTTGACTTTGGAGCGGAATGGAACTGAAAGGAGCTGGAAGTGAATGGCGTAGGCACAGACTTGGAATGGAATAGACTTGGAATGGACTTGGAATTACTTGGAGTTGGCAAATGGAATATGGAATGGAGTGGAACAGAGTTTTCTCAAGTCTTCTCCAGACTTGTTTATTCCAAATATTGAATCAACTAGACCTTGCTACCCCCTCTACAACCTAATCTGGTTGTCGGTTTTGTTTGTCAGTGTGTGTGTGTGTATGCATGTATGAATGTGCATGTGGATGGTCATTTGTTGGCTTGCTCATTTATTCCCTCATGTGTTGTATAACTATACACAGGCATCTATTAAACAATATCTATTCGTATATGCGTGTCGATGCTTCCCAACTTTCCATTGCACATTCAGGAAGCCGAAGCAACTGCGCCCCTGACTTTTTTTGACGTTTCCCTCGAACCCCTGGGGAGCAAGCGGGCTTGGATCCCGTGAGCAATCAAAGCCCGGGTAGTCGGTTGTGAGTGGGCACGCCGAGGTCACTCTTAACCATACGGTTTGGGTGGACCACTTTTTTTTCTTCTCCAGGTTTTGTTTTGCTCTTTTTGCATTCCTTCAGAGGGTTTTGCCTTGTAGTGTTGACCCCACATGGGTAAATCCATCATCCTACAGGGTGGTCCCCTCCAAAAGTGATGATTCACCAAACTCAGTGTCAGGGACACCCCCCCATCAAAACACTGGGGTTGACCCGGGCTTCAGGTGAGCGTCCAAGAGTTTGTGGCAGCCATGGACATGGGCAAGTCTGGAACCCGAGCGAGCGAGCGCTCTCGGAGGCCCACAGTAGCAGCGTAGCGCCCAAAACCCCACTTTGGCCCCATTTTAGTAGGTGGTCCCACTTGGCTTGTTATGGATCATTGTTTTTCGAGAACCCTCGAACATCCTGAGCCAGTAACAGGTGTTGGTCGCTGCATAGTGTGGGTGTAAAGGGCGACCGTCAATTTTATAGCTCGTAGTTTTCTGGTCAATTGCTACCCAACTCGTATTTTGACTGGAGTATTCTAGTCATTTGGGCACCTTGATTTCCGGATGAAGGGCCTTGTGGCCTTTTGCAGATCACGGCGGGTTGCTTGGAATGCTGCATGGGGGGGGGGGGGTTTGGTCAGGTTGGTGGCCATAGCTTCTCATCATTCAGATATGGGTGTGACTCAAAATCAACAAGATCCAGACCCTTTTGGGGCCTGCGGGCTGTATGTCCCCTAGGTGGAAAAGACACAGCAAAGTGCGTAACAAGTCATCTACCCCCATCCCACAACCCATTGCTATGGTCCACTGTTGAACATCCAAGTATCTAGGGGTAGATTCCCCATTCTGAAACCAGGGATCCTTTGGTTCAGAAGGAAAAACACGGGACAGGGAAAGCGGCGGATTTTTGTGAAACGCATTGTCGAAAAGAATGGAAACGCAGTAAACCCCTGGAAAAAGCTTCAGGTACTACAGTACGACACCAACAAATTGGGGCTTGTCTCGTCGGCTTCCCAGAAAAGGGCCGTGGATGGAGAAATCCAGAAAACGCACCTTTTGCATGGAATCCCTATGAGATTTGCTGCTTGACATAACACCAACTGGTGCCGATCAGTGAATTTGTGTGCATCAGTGCAACCAGTTTTTTCAGCCAGGCCCTCCCTGAAAAGCTGCAAGCTCACTTGCCCAAAGCCCAACTTTGACCTTTTAGCTGGCCTCCAAAGGGGATCCCCTTGAATTTCCGGGCCCCAAAGGGACTTTGAAGGGACGTCAAACGGAGGTTTGTGGCAAAACGGCTTTGCCAAGGCTCAGGTTGTGTAGGAAGTCCCCTTCTCTTGAAACAGCCCCGGATGTTGAACCCGAAGTCCGCCCGAAACCGAAAGGAAAAAAAGGCCCGTGGATCCTGTCAACTTTTCGCCCCAAAGCCAACCCTAAAATGAATCAGAGCATTAGAAGAAACGCATAAATTATTGTTTTTAATGGCTCCCAGGAAAACAACATTTTTAATGGCTCCCAGGAAAACAACATTTTTAATGGCTCCCATGGCTCCCACGAAAACAACATTTTTAATGGCTCCCAGGAAAACAACATTTTTAATGGCTCCCAGGAAAACAACATTTTTAATGGCTCCCAGGAAAACAACATTTTTAATGGCTCCCAGGAAAACAACATGGCTCCCAGGAAAACAACATTTTTAATGGCTCCCAGGAAAACAACATTTTTAATGGCTCCCAGGAAAACACCATTTTTAATGGCTCCCAGGAAAACACCATTTTTAATGGCTCCCAGGAAAACAACATGTTTAATGGCTCCCAGGAAAACAACATTTTTAATGGCTCCCAGGGAAACAACATTTTTAATGGCTCCCAGGAAAATGGCTCCCAGGAAAACACCATTTTTAATGGCTCCCAGGAAAACAACATTTTCAATGGCTCCCAGGAAAACAACATTTTTAATGGCTCCCAGGAAAACAACATTTTTAATGGCTCCCAGGAAAACAACATTTTTAATGGCTTTTTAATGGCTCCCAGGAAAACAACATTTTTAATGGCTCCCAGGAAAACACCATTTTTAATGGCTCCCAGGAAAACACAATTTTCAATGGCTCCCAGGAAAACAACATTTTTAATGGCTCCCAGGAAAACAACATTTTTAATGGCTCCCAGGAAAACAACCTTTTTAATGGCTCCCAGGAAAACACCATTTTTAATGGCTCCCACGAAAACAACATTTTTAATGGCTCCCAGGAAAACAACATTTTTAATGGCTCCCAGGAAAACAACATGTTTAATGGCTCCCAGGAAAACAACATTTTTAATGGCTCCCAGGAAAACAACCTTTTTAATGGCTCCCAGGAAAACACCATGTTTAATGGCTCCCAGGAAAACAACATGTTTAATGGCTCCCAGGAAAACAACATTTTTAATGGCTCCCAGGAAAACAACATTTTTAATGGCTCCCAGGAAAACAACATTTTTAATGCTCCCAGGAAAACACCATTTTTAATGGCTCCCAGGAAAACACAATTTTCAATGGCTCCCAGGAAAACAACATTTTTAATGTCTCCCAGGAAAACACCATGTTTAATGGCTCCCAGGAAAACAACATTTTTAATGGCTCCCAGGAAAACAACATTTTTAATGGCTCCCAGGAAAACACCATTTTTAATGGCTCCCAGGAAAACAACATGTTTCATGGCTCCCAGGAAAACAACATGTTGAATGGCTCCCAGGAAAACAACATTTTTAATGGCTCCCAGGAAAACAACATTTTTAATGGCTCCCAGGAAAACAACATTTTTAATGGCTCCCAGGAAAACAACATTTTTAATGGCTCCCAGGAAAACAACATTTTTAATGGCTCCCAGGAAAACAACATTGTTAATGGCTCCCAGGAAAACAACATTTTTAATGGCTCCCAGGAAAACAACATTTTTAATGGCTCCCAGGAAAACAACATTTTTAATGGCTCCCAGGAAAACAACCTTTTTAATGGCTCCCAGGAAAACAACATTTTTAATGGCTCCCAGGAAAACAACATTTTTAATGGCTCCCAGGAAAACAACAACAAAACAAATCCCCAGCCACAGAAAGCCATGGCTTTCTTTCGCCTTCCCCGGCCACTCCGAGGAAGGCCAAGTTCACCAAGGAGGCGGTGGAGCGCCACCGCAACCCGCCCGGGCCCCAAGCGGGGCCTCGGCCTTTCGGGCCGAGGTGTTCTTTTTGGTGGTTTGGCTTAACAATTTTTTGATGGCGATGCCTGGTTCACCTGGTTCAACCATAGGGCCATCTATTTTTTTCCAAAAAGGACACCTATGGAGCCAGAGGGCCAGGGACGAACTCGGGAAACGTGGGTGGGACACATGTGAAATTCGGGGGGGCGGGGGGGGGGGGCAGTTACTGGGGCGGGGGGGGCAGACCCCATAGAAATCGGATTTTGCTGGGAAGATCATCCGATTCTCTGGGGGCGAATTCGGGGCCTTGGGAAGAAAAGGGTTGGACCAAGGTTTCAAGGTTTCAAGAGTTTGTCACAGAGAGATGTCAGGGTGGGTCAGAACTTGATTTTTACACCAGGCCGTTTTTAGTCGGTGAATGGAGACTAGCACGGGTGCTGTGACTTTGTGAGCATGTAGCAAGGGCTCCCAACTGCGTGAACCGACCTTTCATGTATCCCTCTATTTGGCTGTTTCCGTTTGTATCGGCCTCCCCCCTAAAGGAAACAAACTGTGATTTTCTTTTGGTTTTCCTTTCAACCACCCCAAAAAGGGCCCTTTTGTCCGGCAACAATTCCACTGTCGGGGGATAAGGAAGACTGACCAAGAGAATGTGGAGAATGGGGGTAGTTCAAGAGGTTTGCCACATGGGAAGAAGCCATTTTCATTTCACCCATGCAGTGACCAGAGGGACGCCACCGATTCTGAGAGGTCAATTTTGAGAAACACCCACCAGTTGGCTCAGGTCAATTTTGCTGCACTGCTTTCGCCTCCAGTCTTCAAGAGGCCATTTGAGGATAAGTATTTCAGGTCAATTTGGGTGTGTCGCATTTTTAGGGTCCCCCCCCCCAAAATAATAATAGTGAAATAATGAACACATGTTGTGAGTGTTCCTTTGGGTTTCCCAGTAAAGCCACCAAAAAAGAAGGAACCAACTCACAAAAGCAGAGACACCCAACACAAATATGGGCTTTCCTTTGGATGACAAAACAAAAACCAGCGAAACCAAAAAGGTGCCAACTCCACAAAGATCAATCTGGCCACAAAAGGTGCCAACACCAAAAAAGAAAGCCCCATCCCCCTTTTTGATTCCACTTGCCCCCCGGCTTCTGGTTTCACCCGTCGACCATTCACCCGTCGACCATTCCGAGGGTGCACCGGATCAAGCGCTTCCCGCCCGCGAGCATCGACGGCTGGGACCACCTCAAGGACGTGGAGACTGCCCTGCGCTGAGCCCATTTTTGTTGGGGGGGGCTCCTTGTTCCTGTTTTTTGTTGGTTTCAATCGTTTTTCCTCTCTTTTTTTGTTTCCTGTTTTTTTTTTTGGGGGGGGGTTCCCGGTTGTTGGTTGTTTCTTTGGGGCGTTCAGGTTCAGGTCCTTTTTCTGAGCCGTGCAGGCCAGTGTTCAAAGGCCAAGCTGCGCCAATGCCGGTGGACTTTTTCTGTGGCCGCTTGTCTGGGGAGTTTTGGTTTCGGCGACCAAAGAAGCAAACAGAGTGAAGACTGGGCCGCTCGATTTGTGGCATTCCTAAAGGATGAAGCCTCCTTTGGGTATGTTGGTCAGCGAATCGCTTCCTTTCGCTTGTATTTGCTGGGCACTTTCCACGCCGATGGAGTTGGATCAAAGCCTGAAGATGTGTGTTGACAGCCATCCGTAGGTCGGCACGGCCATGGGTTGAGTTGTGACCTGTAGCTGATAGGTGACCCTCAAATGGTCTTTTGGATTGGCGGTTGGTTTCCAATTGACTAGACAACAGGTTCAAACAACGCCACCAACTCCAGCCACCGAAAGGTATCCTGAATCAGGCTTTGGCGCAATCCCAACCCAAGACGTACCGCTAAGCTCACCTCCCCGTTTTCAGGGTACCTTCCGTGTTCCAATGGGTGATCTATTCAGCGAATCGCTTCCTTGTGCGACTGTGTGTTGTCCCACTTATCGCCATGGCAATGACCTATGATCATATTCTTAATTTACACATGACATGTGGGTGTGTCTTTTGCAGCGTACCCCTCCAAAATGGTGGTTGTCCTTTCGGGTTCTCTATAACCCCCCCAACACAAAACACACGCACACACAACAAGTAACCTCAGGAAAAGACAGACCCGTGTCAGATGAACATAGCCGAACAGCTGAACAGCAATCCCGAGTGAGTAGCGTGAGGGCACGGGGCCGACCATCAGGTCAAAGGGACCCGCTACGAGACAGTGGGCACCGGTCGGAGCCTGGTGGACATGTGCGAGCAGGAGACTCACCGAGCCACAGTTTTCCTCTATTTTTGGGTTCGACGGCCTCAAATGGGTGCTTGGTGTTCGGGGAGAAACCTACTTTTGGTTGGTTTCAAAGCTTTACAAGAGGAAGCCAACCATTTCAGGGGCACAATTCCTAGTTTGAGATCCCAAATCTCCGACCGGAGTCAAGCCTATTTTTGTCCTAGAGCTTCGCTATCACCAGCTGCGCTGGCCCTTCCCACCCTTCCCACCCGTCCCACCAGCCGCCCACCCTAGCGTGCGCCTGTGCGCGCCAGTACGCGCGCGCGTGTGCGTGCATGCGTGGGTGTTTGCAAGTTTGCATGCGTGCAGGCATGCGTGCTTGCGTGCACGGGGCGCATTCCCAAAGCCCATTGCTGAACGCCACTTCAACTTTTTGAAACTGTCGGCTCTTTGCCTGCGTTGGCCGCAACCTTTGACTCTCATTGGAGTCCTGCCCAAGTCTAAATCTTGCAAGCAGCAGTTCTTGGTTCGCAGCTGCCCCACCCCCACCCCCACCCCCACCCCCACCCCCACCCCCACCCCCACCCCCACACCCACACCCACACCCACACCCACACCCACTGACACCCACACCCACACCCACACCCACACCCACACCCACACCCACACCCACACCCACACCCACACCCACACCCACACCCACACCCACACCCACACCCACACCCACACCCACCCACACCCACACCCACACCCACACCCACACCCACACCCACACCCACACCCACACCCACACCCACACCCACACCCACGCCCACACACCCACCCACCCACCCACCCGCCCGCCCGCCCGCCCGCCCGCCCGCCCGCCCGCCCGCCCGCCCCCACCCACCCACCCACCCACCTACCTACCGTAGATCACCATAGCGCGCACCCGTGTTTGCGTGTTTGTGCGTGTGTCCCCGGCACCCCGTCTCAGCCCCACAGAAAGTCGTGGACAAATGAAGAAAACACCGTGTTTGCCATGTTTTCAGAACAGTGGCGGCGGCCCCGCTTTTGCAGAAACCCTGTTCACTTGATTGCAAACGTGCCTGCTGTGTCCGCCTACCGCCAACACCTTCTCTGAGCAGACCGTTTTAGAGGGGCTGTGGGAAATGCAAGGGATGCTGAAAAGCCCGGATGCTGGTGATGTAGGCATGCTGGGGATGCTGATGAAGTTGGCAGTCGGGGGCGATTTGCGCAGTATTTACTATGTATTCTGAAGGTTGGGCAACGTGGCATCAGGAGGGATTTCGGGGATGTTTTGGGATGTAAATGTCTGGGCCGGCCTGTGTCCGGGTGATGCAGGGATGCTGAGGAGGAGCTTCTGGTGCAACAAAGCACGTCAGCGGTTTTTTTCCCTACGAGTAGGGTTGCCCTCGCTCTTCGAGCGCGAAGACATCTGCAAAAAGACACGTGCATGTTCGCATTTGTTGTTGGATGGCTCTGTTCAGTGGTTGTGTTTGGGAGGCGCGGCACATCAATGAGGCTTTGCATCTGGGCCCTCTGAAAAGGTCACTTTGTTGGACGCCACAAACAAGTTCCAGCAGGGAACGCGTGCAATTGAGGCATTGAGCACCTGAGCAGCGGAAGACGCCTGGCAGTCCCAATCGTGAACTCATTGATCTCAAGTTGATTCCTTCCCCACTCAGATGTAAAAACCACACCACCAAACCGCCGATTCGGCTGTTCCCTGCAAGGGGTCGATGGGCATGGAATCCAACTTGCTGCCGCAGCCATTGGCTTGGTTTTGCACTTAAACGTAAACGCCATCACGAAAAGAAGCACATACAAGGAAACCTTTCGGTTGGCATTCACAGGGCGTTGCGTCTTCTGGACTTTTGCATAGCAACGGTGTCCTTTTGGTTGGCGTTGACCATGCCATTCTTCCAGCAAGATACTTTGTAGTTGGCATGTACCATCAGGCCAACATGGTGTGGCGGTTGAGGATACCTTTTCAGACTGGGTACAGGAAACGCAAGGCGGTCCTCCTGTTTTGATGCATGCCTTTGCGGCCAGGAGGCGACCGAATGCCTGGCAAGGCTGTCGCACACGCAGGGGGCCTTTGTGCGCGTTTGGGGCTGCCCTTTTGCACTTTGTCGGTGGAACATGCCTGGGCTTCTCAACCAGCCAAGACAACAAAGACAGGAGGGTTTCTCGTTCCCCCCCCCCACTTAAACTCCCCCAAGTGGGATGAGGATCCCATACTTGATGGAGTTTCGAGGATCGAATAGGATTGCACGCATGATTATGTTTGCACTCATGCCGAGCTCACTGACCCACGGGAACAAGCGATTCCACCGCGGATGAAGGTCCTTACAGTCAAGGACCTGCAATGCTTGCCTCCCTCCCGGGGCATTGCGGCATGGGCGTTTTGCTTGTTTCCATAGCCACAAACCACAGCCATTTACAGGAACTTCTGTAGCATTTCCAGCCATCTCTTTTGCTCGGATCTCTCAATGCTGATTTGCGACTTTTATTAGTCAGTGCGGATACTAATGTTAACCCCGGATTAATAACCCCCTCATTGATTTTGATCGGGGTGTGTCCCCTTTTAGTGGGGATTCAGACCACTTTTGGATGGACCGCCCCCCAAATAATGGGACGGGTTTACTCTTGGGTCAGGGCCCCCAATTGACCACGGGAATCACCATCACTTTTGGAGTAGCCTTTAGCCCCCTTGGTACTCCAGAATGAGTGGGTGGACATTAGCGGTTTTCCCGTCTCGTGGATTCGTTCGGCACGCGGAGTTCCGGGCGCCGATGGCTCAGGCTGGCGCAGACCCCCCGGGCCCTGCGCCACGAGCAGCGGACCCCGAGATACCAGTACTTCGGGCGCGGCCCGCGGAGTTGGGAGCGGCGATGGGCACCAGTTGGTAGTTTATATATACATTTGTACATATATATATATGGGTTTGGGCCAAAATTAAACCACCACAAAACCACGCAGTCCATGTTTCCATTTGCCAGCCACAGCCATATATATATATATATATATATATGTATGTGTATTTCTGGATGTGTCTCAAAGGGGAATCCCCGAAAGGGTGTGTTTTTCTTCTTGTTGTTTCTTTTTCCTCCCTCCTTTGAAACATCACCAAAAGGATAGCCTCAAAAAAGCACACATGCCCATAGGATGTTCAGTCTTTTCGTGTTGGCGCTTTTCATTTTTCGCGTGCTTGGAGGATCCAAATGTTACACGGTGGTAGCTAGAAGCAGATCTAGGAAGGTGACCAGCCTTTATTACGAGTGCAGGGATGACCATTGAAGGACAGCCTTAGACTGGAGAGACTGGACGCTTACTTCCCCATCCCTTATCCTTCCCTTTCCTTATCCCACCATTATAGTGCGGTAGAGTGTAACTTGCATCAAGCCGATGAAGAAGCGCTTGGACAGTCTGCCCACACACTCGGTCCCGTTTTGTTGCGAAGGCGACAGCTGAAAGCAAGAAGGCCGCTTCCAAATATGTTGGGGGGAGCTCGAGAAGAGCATCGGGTGAAAAGAAGGCATGGGATCGGGATTTGACCAATTCTTTCTTTCTTTTCTTTGCAAGCCACGATCGATGCCCATTCTCCCCCCCCCCCCCCCCCACCGGCACGACATCAATTCGATTTTGGTAACCAACATCAGTCCCCTTGCAAACAGATGATGGCAAAGAGAGGGGTTCTCAGAACACATCGGCCCTACCCCCGCCCCCCTCTGGCAGGTTTGCGTCTTTAGGGCTGTGGGTCCTAGGCCTCAGGGCACCTGTCGACAAAAACACCAGTTGCATGTTCAAGAAGGGGTGTTTCCAGATAAGCCGTCACGTCTCAGCTTCCCCCTGTTTGGTGGTTTGGAGCCGAATGGGTGGTTTGGTGGTTCAGGAGTGGCTTCTCATTTCGCCACAAGAACCAGCAATTCAAATCCATATGCAAACCACTTGGAAACATCTAAGGTCGTCATTTCGAGGTGATTTCAATTCACCCCACCTCGGCTGAATGTCGTGCCAGGGGAGGTGGAGACACCGCTCGCTTCCACAAGCACTCCAAGCCACAGCCCCCGGCATGTTGGAGTTTGCGGGGCTCCAACAAAGCGACATCCAGCTTAACCTCCAACTCTTCTTGGAGATCACACCCAAAAGTCATGTACGCGGCCAAACAATTGCAAGTTGGTTTTGTTTGTTTGCTTTGAAGATAAGTTGATTTGGTTTTGAGGCGCTCGACGACCCCATATTCTAATTGCTGAGACCTGAGTTGCTTGAAGATCTAACCAGCAGGAAACCGTTTGTTGTCCCGGAGGGTTCCTTGCTCCTTTGATTCCGGCCCCTTATTGCTTGATCGCAATTGGGTTGGATCTTTAGACTTTAACTCTTTGGTTGAAATCAAGTTGGCTTTCTATTGAGCCCACAAAAAAAAGCAAAACTACTTTTTACAGGGGTCTCGCCAGCAACCAAGTCTGTCCCCTCAAGTAGAAGGCTCTTTGTGGTCGTTGGGGTCGTTGGAGCAAGCCGAAGAAGCCGCCGAGCGCCACTTCTTGTGGGTTGGGAGTAGGATTGCACTAGGCGTCCTTTTGATCGCTTGGGTTGGGCAATGACATAGATGAGTTCTGGTTTAGATGGGTTTTTAGAAGTCCCATTTAATTTATGCATTTTTCTCAAGAACACCTATGCGCACGAGTTTTTCTTCACATGCCAGTGCTCGATCCCAGAAGGACGCCTTCGGCGTTGATTCGAACCACCAACTCTGCAGTTTCCCATTGTTTCTACTCCAAGTGGGGACTATCGCGGGCCTCTTTTAGAGTATGTCCGAAAAACAAGGCGCGCCTTTGCTTGGGTGCTTTTTCTTGGTGCAAGGAAACCTCGAGTCTTACTGCGATACATTGCGAAAGCTCTCTGTGGGTGCCCGGCCCATCTGTTCGGCTGCTTGATTTTGCTCGGGGGACGTGCCCTGTAAGCAATGCGGATCTCACGAAAGTGCGTGAGGCCCGACACTTTCCATGGCTTTGCTGGGGAAAAAAAACACAACATTCGTATTGAAAGTCCCTTGAAGGTGTGGGATGGAGTCAAAAGACCGCGAGCAACCAAGCGCAGGCCAACACACCTGGAACAAGACATGCCGAATCCTAGCCAGCGGGAATCTACGGCGCCAACAACAACTCCAATGCTGGGCCTTCTTCTTGTGGACCGTAGCGCTGCAGGTCAAATGTTGTCGTTCTCAACGCCAAATCACGGAGTTGGCTAAGTTGATTTTGCATCGTCTCCAAATGACAGGGTTTTACTTCGTCTTTGCAAGCCACCCGCAACTACCAACTGGTGAAACGCCTGCAACCCTACAACTCTTGGCGCCTGGCCGAGGTATCGGGACACTGAAGGGCCAAAGGCCGGGACGAGCTTCGGGGTGACGGGTCCCCCCGATTTCCTGAAGGGGTCTGTCAGTGAAAAGGTTTCAATCCCCACGGTTTTGAAGGACCTGTCTCGGTTTTTTGGTGTGGCTCTTTTGCTTTGATCCTCAAGCGGCACCAAGCAGCCCGCTAGGTTCGGCTGGCCTTGGTGGTTTGCCCACACCGCTACGAACGCTTCTCAGGACCCCTCCTGAGATGAAACTGATGAAAGTATGATCGTAGAGTCCATTTTGCAATGAGCGGGAGGGGGGTCCGCCGAAAAGGGGGTCAGGGTGTTCGCCGTTCTCGCATTGCTGTTTTAGACGCCAGGAGAAAAGTGGTTCGCTTCATCGCCAGTGTATTTTTTGGTTGCCGCCCCATTAGGGCTCTAGGCTGTTTGCGGAAGGCGACAACCCCCCAAGCGGAGGCGGCGGTCTCACGATGGGCGACCCTCAAACATCAAGGAAGCTCGTACCCTGAGTCTATCTCACAGCAACCCCTCCCTCCCCCCTCAAAAGCGGGCTGGCTTTAAAGGACAACCACAAGAACAAGCAGCTGCAACTCGTTAAAGAAAAACGCTTCTGAGACTCATTTTTTGTCGCAGTGTGCAAGCTCGCGTGCTTTCAATTCCTGAGCTCTTGGACTTTACTTGAGAAGTCGATGCTAGGGCTTAGAGAAGTAGAATGGCCGAGCAGTGAACCGTTTTTAGAGCAAACAATTAGCAGTTAGCCGCTTGGGTGACCCAAGGTATGATTTTGGTTTTTCCTCTTGTCCCTTCAAGCCAACCAGGTAAACTTGTGGTAAACTCGCCCCTGCCTTGGTTCGGCCAAGCCGCTTCCAGGTTTCAACATGGGAAGGGGACTGGACAAGGCAAGACCACATGGGGTGTGTTCTGTTTGAGGGAACCACATTCGGGCTCCGTTTTTTTTTCTTTCTCTTTTTGAGGGGGGTGGCAACCATAAGGACATCATTCATTCATTAGTGAGCCTCTGATTGATTAGTCTGGACCTAGCTAGGTCCTGTTTGTATTATTATTATTATTATTATTATTATTATTATTATTATTATTATTATTATTATTAGTATTATTATTCTTAGTTTTTTTCTTATTATTATTATCATCATTATCATTATTTCTGGAATGGCAACCCCTGAAACTATGAAAGGAGTTAGCATGAGCAAAACATATTGGCAATAACTTTTGGCGGACATTTCGCTTATGGTCGCTTTTGTAAAAATCAGAGGTTTTGGGCCGTGCCCCGACCGTAAAGTGGTTGCAATTCCACCTTGGTTTGGGGCCGCTGGGGTTTCAAAGAGGCCGAAGCCATGGGGTTTCGCCAGGTGGACCTGCCCGATCCCGGAGGCGACACGCCGTGGGTCTTGTTTTTCTTCTGGGTTTTGTTTTGACACCGAACCAAAAAGGAGGGGTACTTAAAGGGGGCATGGTACTTGGTGAGTGGTTGGTAAGCCTGGTTAAAACTCACTTGCCGTACGTGGTTATGAATCTCTCAAGTGGGTTGTTACTTACGAAGTACTTTGCCCTTTTAGTTACCAACTCCAAAACAGGCGAGCCAGACATACTGTGGATGGGCGAAATCCTCATGTACCGTTCAGAAACCCCGGTTTCTTGTTCGAGTCCCCAACGTGGGTACCAACAAGCGTTTGGTTTCGTAGTGCGAAATGGATGACTCGTCCATGCACAGAATGTTTGTGGGTTCTTAGGTACCCCGTTTGGGTTGGTTGTGCTTGAGGGAAACAAGGGGAAACTTTACCCGATAGGGGTCCGATTCCCATTTCAAGACACATCCCATATCCTAGGGCGGACGGAATATGAGGGGGAGTCTGAACATTGGATTTGTACCCCAGAGTGCCAAGCACACCTGAATCTGGGTTCGCCTCCGCCAGACTTTGGCCGAACCTTGTTGTTCTCACAGGTTTCCCATCCCTCTTTCCGCCTTTTTGAACTTGCAACTGGGCCGCCCCATTCATTGGTGAATTGAGCGAAGCAAGCTATTTTTTGACAAAAAAACATAAAACAATAAAAACATGATAAACACATAAACAAATAGAAATAAAAGAACACAAGCAAATAAACAAAATAACACAAGTAAAATTAAGCAGGCAACCCCCTCAAAGGCTAGGCCCATAGAACCCCCTCGCTTTTTGCACCCCAAACCCGCCTTCATCCCACCTTAATCCGTCCCCTGAATTCACCCCATATCATCCCCAGACCCTAAAACATGAACCCAGCCTAAACCCACGCTATATACACCAGTCATGGCGATTCTGGAGCTGATGATGCGGTCGGCAAATGGATTTCTTCAGGGCCTCATTCGATCCTGAAACCTAGGAAAGCAGCAAAGAATCACGTACCCGAGAATGGCACGCAGCAACACAACAAAACGAAAGCCACAAACGAACAAACACACAAGCGAGCAAGCAAGCAAGCAAGCGAGCAAGCGAGCAAGCAAGCAAGCAGGCAGGCAGGCAGGCAAGGAAGCAAGCATTTTATTCATGTATATATTTATTAATGTTTTTTTTCCAGTTTTATTTGTTTAAAGGCACAATCAACCCACGCATCACCAACAACCAGTTGCGAAAACGGCGCCTTTTGGCCATCTCACGAGTGAGTGAACAGGCCCGGAAGTGCGGCCCGGGTATTTGTGCAGCCTGAAAGGGGCGCTGGCCCTAGGTGGGGTGGGGTGGGGGTGGGGTGGGGGGGGTGGGCGTGGGGGTTGGGGTTTGAGTGGCCAGGCCTGCGTAAATGGAGCCAAGCTTTCCATTTCGGGGTGGGAGCTTCCATGGACTCGCCTCAGGGTAACACGGCAACACCAAGGGTTCGATTCGAGTTCCCACATGAGGTGGAAAGTCGGCTTGGTTGTCTGTTGCCCTTCACCGGCCAAATTTGTTTGCGCCGCTAGGCGTTTTTTTAGTCAGGATCCAGAAGCACGCCAAGCAATTCGATATATTGGAACCATAGTGAGTTTCTTCTTGTTGGGTTGGCTTCGATTGGTTTCAACCCTCAACGCGTTGGAAAGCAAGTGGCGATGAATAAATCAGTTGCTCAAAACGCGCGACCAGACATAATCTCCCACATGTTGATCATTTTTTTCGGCCCTAGGGTCAGCTTTTTGTCCATTTCCAGGTCCTTTGGGTCCAAGCGACAGGAGCTGGGCCTTTCCTCCCCGAAACCGTGGTCACTGGCGCGTGGCTCGCTTGGAATGGCCCATTCGCCGCCCGAATTTATCATAGGCCCGCCATGTTCCCCGTTCACTGTTGCTCACTGGTGCTCTGAGGCGAAATGGCCAAGGCCGCACACCCGGGGCTGAAGCAAGCCACGAGCCAAAGGAGCCTGAGCCTGTCGCGGAATTCGCCCCCTGAAAGGGGGCAACGCGGGGTGGGGAAACATAGCGTGTTTCTTGCGAGACGGTGAAGTCGCAGATGTGGATGAAAATTTGAACCCCCCTGAGTCATGGGGTGGGTGTATCTATCGCGACATTGCGAGAACTGAACCGCTGTGATGGATGAGCGCTGGGTTTGTGGCTTTCCCCACCCGGGGAGGCGTGTAGCTTTAGGGCGCGAACTGTGCCTTGAGGCCGTGGGTGGCAAACGTGAAAACGTGGCCGCGTAGCAGCCTGCGTGTCTTACTTTCTCAAGTCGACCGCCTTGTTTTTTTTTTTTGGGGGGGTGCGGGGGTCCCCTTGAAAAGGGTCATATCAACGTAGTGACTCAGCCATTGAGCTTGGCCAGGTTTTGCTGTGCTCCTTTTGCTGCGTTTTGGTTGACGATTGATGGCAATCTGGGTGTAGAGGGCACTCCTTTTGGTGGTTTTTAGGGGGGGCCAACAAAAGACAAGCCCGTTTTGAGGGTCCCATAAACAACACACCTATCTCAATGGTTGGCAACCTTCCTGGTGACTTCAGGCGGAAAATACTGCAACTGTGCTGACCCCCCGTTCTGAGCTGTGCGTCGTTTTTCTCTAGTCCAGTGCTTGTCTGCTTTCACTCCGCTACGACGAACATTCGCCACCCCACGGCCGAAACGGCTGAGAGGCCAACTGCAGGGCGGTCCTTATTGCGGAAACAAGGCGCAGCCCTGCCGTCGTAGGCGAGTTCCGAGACGCGGCAAGAAGCAAGTGGCTCGGAAAACGTCCCGCGAGTTGGGAGGAGAGGTCCCTTGAAGGAGCCCTCCCCTAATGTTGACCCAGGAAAAAAGAAACTGAAAAAACACCTATGAACCCTCCAAAAGTGATGAATGCCCAATCAAAGGGGACACCCCCTATGAATCAACCATGGCTTTTATTAATCAGAGGTTCCACACTAAACTACTGCAAAACCAACGACTTCAGGTTCCACACTAAACCCAAGGTGTCTTTCTTCTGTTGAGAGTGCTTACCATCGCCTCACAACATGAACTTCTCTTGGAGCAAATGAAAGTGATCGACTGAAGGCTTCTTTCATAGGGTTGGGCGTGTCTTTTGTTGGGGGGTACCCCAAAAATGGGTGGTTCCCCCTTTGGTTTCCCTTTAAACAACACAAAGCAAGGGGTACCCTCAAGAAAAAGTCAACCCGGTATTTTGGGTGAGTGAATTGCGATGCGCAGGATTGGGGTCCAGGTTTGCTCACCCATAATTGAGGAGCAGCTCCGAACGAGCGGAAAACATTCTTGGCAGGACAGCCATGCTGGTGTGTCTTTTCCTGGCATGTTACCTGGGTGTCCAAACCTCAAAGGGAGCGAGTTGGACTTATGCAGCATGTTCTGTTGTCTTTGCATTGCTGAAACCTGAAGGGGGCTCCGGGACATGCTGACACGGTTTCAATGGGATTTGGCCCGGGGGGGTCATCCACCTGGAAGGGCTGTGGCTCAACAAAGTGGTACCAATTTTTGGGTCCCCTGGATGAGCAAAAAGACCAACACCTGCGTAACCCCAGCTCTTTAATTTTGAGCCACACCCTTATAAGGATTCATGTTGATACGTTTCTTGAAGGTTGTTTGACCCAGGTCTCCATTCTTCAGCGGCTTGCGTGAACATGCTCGCCTTTCTGCCGATCCAACCAACTTTAAGGACTCAGCACGCACAGCGACCCACATACTTGAGCCATGTGTTCCTGCAGGGTTGGCGCGATGAAATTCAACCGGGATCCGTCTGAAAAGTGACTGGTGGACATGACGGCCTCACCTAGATGTGTACCCCCCCCAGAAAAACTCATGCCCACCATCAGTGCATGTGACGTCCTTGGCTTGATGCAATTTTGCTTTTTGCCCGAGGCCTTGAGAGAAGCTGTGCCTTTCACTTTTGGCTCAGCGCTGATAGCTTCGACCAGAGAGAAACCGACAACCGAGGGATAATGTACCAGCTTGGAGAATGGAGGTGTCCAATCAAAAGCCAGCTACTGCGAAATCGTCGGATAGTAGTATACAGCAGACATCCTCTTGAAGCTTGTCTGAGGGGAATAGAAGCTGCCGAATTTGGGCCGTTTCTTTCTTGTTGATCCTGTGTCTCGTGCTTTGCCCCAAACATCGCCGTGAATGCTTAAAGCATTCAGCTTCTAGAGCTGGCCCCGAAAGGTGATGTTCAATGTTTGAACTGTTGGGAAACAGAAGGACCCCCTGTGACATATTTCGCTTCAAAGAGTCGCCACGCGACCCCGAGAAATCATTCCGGTCTTGGATGCGACGGAGTCTGTCGGCTCTCTTCAGGCGGGGCATTGGGTGGTCGACTTGTTACCTGAGCACACAAGGGGCCAAATCAGTAGGTGACAGGAAGGTACCCTCCTCTAAACAAGGAAGTGCACAGAATCCCTGATCTTGACACCTGATTAATCAACCCTCCAGGTATTAATCAGGGGGTCCCCCCAAAAAAAGAAAGGATTCCGCACTGAACTGGGACCTCCCTGAATGATAAGCGGGGGGTTTATAAACCAGGGTCAACAGTACTGGAAAGAGTGCTGTGCACTTCCCTGCTGAACGTTTTTCTTGGAAGGTGCCTCAAAATGGTGAATCTGAATGAAGCTGCTTCCCATTTTCAAGGGACTCTCAACACAGGAGGCTTGGTCACGATCAACAGTAGTCTGTGCTTCATTTGGAGACACATTTCCCGCAACACCCAGGGGACTCCCGAACGATAAACAAGCTACCTACTCCCAATTCCCACTTTTTCGAGGACGCCGAATGGTATCAGCCCCCGACCCAAAAAGGAGGTACTTGACATATGGCTGTGGGTCACAACCAATGGTACCATTTTGGGATATGTGAATTCACCACCCATTTTAGAGCCTATTTTTGTGGTTGGATTGGCATGTTCAGGGGTACGGGCTGTTGACCCATCTGGGAAACCAGGTTGTTCTCCAGGCAGAAGTTTCAGACGTCAACTCGGTGTTCCGACGCCGACGAAATCCCGGACGAGCGAGCTCGCGGGGGCCAAGTTGTTGCTGTTTGAGCAACCAAAACCGGTTCACAGCGCGAACACCTAGGTTGAAGGTGTTGGTCAGCCCTGGCCACTTTCGTTTTTGGGAAGCGAAAGGATCATGTTTGACTTGCTATCCAATAGGTGTTTTCACATGTTCTCGGATAATTTGAACGTAAGCTGGCCTAGCGGGCCGAAATGCCCTCGCATGCTTCACCAGGGGAGCGACATGGAGGAGGAAGTGCTTGGTGACATAGTCGCTTCTTGGCGAGATAGAGAGAGAGAGAGAGAGGCCTTAGTTCCCTCGATTTTGGACAGGCGTTACAAGGTTGGACCTTGTGGGAGCCATGGCCCACAGGAGTTTTGACCACAGAGACGGACGCATGCAGGGGAGGCATCATCCCGTAGACAAGTTGGGCATCTTGCATTGGGCGTTGCACAGAACGGTGGGTTTTCTTTTGTGGCCCACCCGCTTCCTAGTTGCAATCTCCGAATGGGCAACCCGTTCTCATTGGTTTATTGGTTTGGTATTCCACCTGATTGCTCACTACAAGCATGGGCAGGCCGCCACGAACAGTACATCACCCTTTCGGCACTTCTGGCGCATACTTTGAAGTAGTCCACAAGTCTGTGGGATGAATTACAGTTCAGACCAACAGATGCGGTCTTTGCGTGAAAACCAACCCTCTAAGATGGTTTTCTCAGGATGCCAGACACAGGCTTTGACTGGGAGCCCTTCTTTTCAACAACCGGCACCTGGAAGGGATTAGTCACCCCAATTCGTTTTCTTCGACTTTCCCTTCAAAGGACATCTAAATGTTGCTACCAAAATCGCTGGGGTTTGCAGCCGTTTTCTGTTTTCTGTGTAAAAAACCCTTACAAAGAGGCGGCCCTCACCCCCCCCCATTCTTGTTAACCTGCCTTTGGTTTCGGGGGACGGCACAAAACGTATGTTCAAACCGGGGAATGGCCCAACCCTATACTAAAATAGACTACACCAAAAAGGGCACCCTTATTCTGACCTCTCTACTGGAGGACCTAAATTGGGGAACCCCCCTTCCCCCAGCAGCGCTTTTGGCTTCTTGCCAAGTCTGAGGTGTCGTTTAGCTCCAATCGGCTCGACCCGGATGAGCGCCTGAGGCGAGTCTCGAAACACGTCGAGCGCCGAAGTCTTGAGTTTCGCGCTTTTGAGATTCACGAAGGGTCCGTCCCGTTTCCGTCTCTTGTTTTTGTTCGCATTTTGGTTCTGCCCGTGTTTTCTCCGTTTTGGGGGGGGCGTTTCTTGCACGTTTCGCTTTCCCCGTGAACGGTCAGCCTTTCTGGGACTCCAGGTTCAGGTTGATGTTCAAGGGGGTGTGGCTCAAAATTCAAGAGCCAGGGTTACGCCCAAATGGGTTCTAACAAATGGGTAGGATGCAAATGGGAGCCCGTTTGTTTGAGACCCCTTTAGGGTCTCCGAAAAATTGGGAGCTATGTTTGGCAGTCTGCCTCATTTGCCTCTCCGGTCATAGCTGCTCCCGGGTGGCTTTTTGGATTGATTCGGGGATTTGAAGCCATAGAACCACCCCCAAAACTTCAAAAGCAAATGCAAATCAAATCCGAGAACACTCCAACATTTTGAAAAAAGCAATCCAAATCTCTCACTTCCAAAAGTTGTGAAGGCTGACACTTGGTCTCCGGTTGTCCGGTTGTCCGGTGTGCAGCGACCAATGGAATCAAGGAAAAATGCGGGATGTGGCTGCGTTTCAGGGGGTCCGCCAGAGGGCTCACGGGATCCCCTGGTTGAAAGCTCGTGCTCTGAGAGAAAGATGTGTAAGTCATTGTGCAGCCCTTGTATCTGCGTTGTCTTCCTTTTATGCCCAAAGGAAGCACGCAACGGGGAGGGCCCGTTTGGTTTTAAACAAATAGAGTATCCAACCCCACGTGAATGAATTGTGTGTGAGAGTCTCTAATCTAAACAGGTTGAATGTAAGATCCTGGAACCAGTTTTGACTCAAAAACCTGGTATCGACGTGGTCTACCCCAAGCTAGAGCTTAAAGAGCGGACCTCCGCAAGGATTCATAGCCGGGACTGTCCCCAAGCCTTCCGTTTGGATCTCATGGAACGGGTCGCCGTTTTTTTTTTTGAAGGCCCTTGCAGTCAGGTGACCCTTCGTTGGGATTGGCGGTGTGGCTTTGTTCCCCGGTTCTTGCGGGCCACCCCCCTGCGCACCTCCAAACCACCCGGCGGCGGGCCGGATGCGAGGGATGCTTCTCTCCAGTGAGACAATCGCGCCGACAAATCCGGGCACAACGGGAAGGCCGCGTCTTTGCGAAGGGAAGCCACTCCAAATGGAGGTGGCATGAATTGTCTTGACCCTTTGGTAGGAATCCAAATGAATGCATCTTTGCGGGACCAAACCTATAGCATGGAACAAACTCTACAAACCTGAGGAGAGAACTCCGGGCCACTTTTTGAAAAACCGGTGAAACCTTAAACAAAAACAACTGTGACCAACATGTTACCCTTCCTCTCACTAACACGGTGCTTGTGGGGAGGTACCTGGAAGAAAAATCAATCTCTTCCTCCAAGGGGACCCTGTCAGGTGCCCTGGTGGGAGGCTACCGGCTCCCTCCTCCCCCCTGAAACCGCTCGGGGGGGCTTCGTGTGCAAACGCCACGCCCCCCACTCCTCTTTTCGCGCCGAACAAAAAAAAATCGGCGGAGGCAGATGGGCCCCGAGATCTCGGAGGCCACGAAGCCCGCACACACCTTCGCGCGGTCCCTGGAGGTGCCGGCGACTCGGGGGAAACGGGGGGGGCGCTTGCCCGGAGGCTTGCCCCGTGGAAAATTTTGCAGCTTCCCCCGGGGCTTGGGCTGGGGTCATTATTATTATTTTTTACACGGTTTCGGAGGGTTGTCAAAGTGGCTGGGGTCGTTATTTTTTGACGGCTTCGGAGGGTTGTCAAAGTCAGAAGATGGAATCGGTTGTTTCCCAATATAACCCACCACTGAACGGGGATGACTTTGATCATTTTGAAATAATGAGACCAGTTGGACCTCCAAAAGCGGCAGCGGAAAGGCGGGAAATGGACGCTGCCAGTAAGTTGATCCACTTTTGAAGGGGGGATGTCGTGACCCCTTCCTGCCAGGACTCCTTGAATAATAGGCTTTGATGGGTGTCTCAGATCTGGTTGACCAGGTACGTAAAATCACGGGAAAGCCACTAAGAAGCCCCAGATGCGCAACCCGCACAAGGTATCAAACACCAGCGATACATAGCAAAGGCAGTGTGACTTCTCAGATGGAAACTCTCCTCTCGGGCCTCGGACACGGTGTGTTTCCCTTTATGGATCCTGCTTTGCCCGAAGGGTGTCCATTTGTCGGGTGAAACTCGGTGCAAACAAGTCACATTTTTACCTCCTTACCTCTTGGCTTAAAGGGGTTTCTTTCCGGGACCCAGAAGTATTCAAGTGAGACCGGCCCTTCAAAATGCCTTGCCACTTTCAGAGCCGTGACATATCCCTTAATTAAAACATCCAACAAGCGCAAGAAGCCACAGACCCCCCCAAGCACCAAACAAGCAGAAGAAGAAGAGTGCCACATATCCCGTTGAACATCAAACCAGCCCAAGAAGAGTGCCACAGACCCCTTTAAACATCAAACAAGCAAACAAAAGAAGATGAAGAAGAGTGTCGCATATCTCTTGAACAATTAGAAAGCCCAAGAGTTCAAGAGTTTCTCTGGGTACATTTCCCTCCGAGTTTCTGTGTCCAGAAGCCAGGCGCCGCCGGGGACGGAAAGCATGGACTACGACCTCCACGAGCGCCTCGCACTTGCGACGCGATGCGAGTCGACTCGAACTGGCCGCCGGTTTTCCGCTTGTTCCGTGGGTTTTTCCATCGAATCGGAGGACCAACTGGGCTTGATCAGATGAGGCCATATGGGAAGCTGTTTTGTCATGACTGTTGACCCCCACTAAGTTCGGTTTATAAGTCCCAAGGGAACAACATTCTGCGCCCAAGCATCATGGACTTTGGGTTTGAGGTCCCAAGATTCGTAGGCCAAACAAATGCAGCGGACCTCTCGGATAATTTCCAGAAGAAATCCAAAAGGATCCTAGCCTAGATTACTTTACATGTAATAATGTTGAGTTCTGTGCAATTCGCGGACATACTGTGGATAGGCAAAATCCTTCACTTGAGCTGTAAAGAGGGATTTACTGACATTACAAAGGCTCATAAAGTTATTCAGGTTTTGCTCATGTTGACTTTGGCTTTAATGTTAAGGAATTGAGGCTTTACAGCCAATTCAAGCAGGTAGAACCACCTACTAACATGGCCAATTGGGATTTTGGGCGCGCTCACATGTCACATGAGAAACCAATTGGGTTTGATGAAACCCCGTGAATGCGCCTACCAACTACCCACAGTGCATTGGTTGATGTCTGAACGAGTGCATACGCCTTGGAATGGCAGTCTTTGTCTGGGTCTTTCTCCGCACTGCACTGCGTTGCCAGTCGGACATGTTGCCAGGCTGTTGTTTGGGGATGCGCAAATGAACAGGGGTTGGCAATTTTACCACAAAACAACGGATCGCAAACGGGCAATTGAGCAAACTGGAGAAGGCTTCCATGCACCTGCCAGCTTATCTTTGAAGAGTGATCCCATATTAATATTGCTCGGTTGAGCTTTAGCTCAGTCTTTCTGATCTTCGCGCACATGCACTTCTTGCGTTGACGATGTAGCCCAAACTGCTATTCACCGTTTTGAACCCAGCTCACGTGTTGTTTTGCGGGATGAGCACCCCCACCCAATAATCTAGACAAACTTTGGATGAGAAGCCGGCATTGAGGTGCTATGTTGATACTGTGATCTCGAGTATTCAGACAGATCCACTTATCCGCAGAGCAGCTCGGGGTTGGTTGATTCAAAGCTCATTAAGATTGCATGTGCTGGGAAGGACTGTTGGGCCAAGCGAAACATGTATCTCTGCACTTGGGCATGGTTCACTGCAAGGAACCCTGGTGTGTTTTCATCTTCTGAAAGTGTGCGTCCCATGAAGGCTGTATTGGCCAACTTTGTATTTAAGCCGGTGAACGAATCAAATCCCCAAAACAGTCCATCCCAAATGCTGGCAGTTTTTGGCTGGGATCCTCAGGAAAGAAGCAGGTGGCTTTTGGACGTATCCTAGGCTTCCGCATTTTTGGTTTGCCCTTTGGCGGTTTGGATCCATCACTTGACATGACAAGGCGTGTTGCTCAACCAGGCTCAAGCACTCAATCAGGGTTCCCCACACGTTACCCGCAGCATGGAACATGACATGCACGAATCCTAGGTGTCCTTTTTGGTTGTCTTGCTTAAAAAATATATTTGGCACTGGGCAACACCTGGTGGTTCAATCATCTACCAGAAAAACCATCTGTTTTGCAAAGAAGGACGCCTCTGGGCCCAATTTGTACAAGTTGGGAACCCCCTACCCCCCAAAACCCCCCCCTTCCCCCGTACTTCGGCTCCGAGGAGCCCGGCGATGCTGGCCTTCGTGGCGGCCCAACAGAAGGCGGGCGCCGTGGGTTCGAAACGCGCGTCCAGACGGGTACGGTTCGCACGGGGTGGCTTCCATGTCCATTCTGAATTGAGGGATGCTTTTCTTTCCAGGAATCAAAATCAAAAAGAGCATGGTGGGCAAGAGTGGGGAATCAACCCCTAGAACTGTGGGCGGACGAGTCATCCATGTCGCACCAATTGATAGTTGGTATTTGCAGGGGAATCGGGGAATTGAATCATTCCAGGGTTTTGCAGGTGGTGCAGGATTTTGTCCATTCACAGTAGCTTCCAAGCATTCTGAGCCCAGAAATCCAAATCTTTCCAGAGAACCACCAAACATTTGTGGGGGAAACAGCTGAGTTTTGAAAAGAAGGATGGTTGGAATCAAGACCCTAGAATACGGGTGTGATCTTTTAGGTTAGTTTGATTGACATGGGTGCTGGTTTATATGGGATTTACACCCCATTTACCAGGGAACCCCATCTATTTTACCAAAAGGACACCTATGGGTGGCTCGTCTTTTTTAAGGTTGGACCCCCAACATTGCGCACCGGTTTTCCTTTTGGTGTCTTGAACACCACGGAAAAAGGGGCAGCCTCCAAGAACGAGCCGCCCACGTGTCCCAAACAAGGAGGCGGCAGATTGTGCAAAGAGGCATCGAATACTGTCCAGGTAGATGGAAGACGTCTTTTTGTTGGCCGTCACGTCTTCAACTTCTTTCTTGGTTCCCCCTTTAGAGCCTTCAGCCAATGGACCGAATCGTTTCACTTTTATCTATCTCGAGGGGTTCTGGGGAAAGCAACGGGGTTGTTTAGTCCATCCGGAGAAAAGACATGGAGCCCAAACTGGTGAACCAAAGAATGGGGGCGGGGTGCTGTACATCATTATTGTTTCTTTTTCTTTTTAAACAACAAGTCATGATCAGAGAATCATGCGAGCATTTGTTTAGCCAAAGGCATGGTACAAGGGACAACTGACCAATTTCATCATGTTCCCATCACGACTTAATTTAATTTTCCTTAGTTTTATGGTAGCCATGCGAACCATTCAAGCCAAAGTAAACCGTCCCATTGAATCTCGAAGCCAACTAAACCGACCCACAACCCCCCGTTCCGGACTTAAAAACTTCCCAGCCATCTACCAGGGTCATCTATTGTCCAAAAAAAGACTCCTATGATTCCCCCCCCATTCTTGACTTAGCCACTTCCCAACCCCCCCCCCCCCCCCATTCTATGCATGTAGAGGTCCATACCCGCAGGCCATGCAGCGGTCGAACTGCCTGCTGCGCCTGCTCTCCCGCAGCCTGGAGCTCAATCGGGGCAGGGCGGTTGGGCGGTTCTGGGGTGTGTTAGGGCAGCAATTTTTTTTGGAGCCAAAAACGGTGTTTTGATTGGTGGATTGGTGGTTTGGTGGTTTGGTGGTTTCCTGGTGCAGTTCTTGAGGTTGGTGGAGAGGGACATCAATTTTCGGGTCCACATCCCTATTTTGACGCATACGACGCTGGTGTGTGTGCGTGTGTGGGTGCTGGTGTGTTTGTTTGGGAGCTGGTAGCCTTGGTTAGATTGGTAAAAGGGAAGCCAAAGGGAAAACGAATCAGTTGGGAGGGACGTGTTCAGAACGTGAAAAAGAAAACCCACAGTCCAGGCAATCGTTTCGTCTGACCTGGGAAGCCTATCCCAACACCTGAAGAAGCAACTGGGCCGGTTGAAGCCCAAGGCAAGCGAAAGTTCCCATCCCAAGAGGGCAGGTTCCCATCAATGGGGTCTGCAAGCCAGTCTTGCAACCGGAAAGCGCAAATGACACTCCACGAATCATATTGAAAGGGTTAGGATGGCATCCAGAGACTATCCTTGTTAGGTTTGCCTTTGGTTTGCCTTTGGTTTAACTTTTGGCTTACTTTGGGTCTGCCTTTGGTCTGCCTTTGGTCTGCCTTTGGTCTGCCTTTGGTCTGCCTTTGGTCTGCCTTTGGCTTGCCTTCGGTTTGCGTTGGGTTAACCTTTGGTTTGCTTATGGTTTGCCTTTGGTTTGTATTCGATTTCCTTTTGAATTACCGTTGGGTTGCCTTTGAATTGCCTCTAGTTTACATCTGGTTTGCCTTTGGTTTGCTTTTGGTTTACCTTTAGTTTGCTTTTGGTTTGCTTTTGGTTTACCTTTATTTTGCTTTTGGTTTGCTTTTGGTTTATCTTTAGTTTGCCTTTGGTTTGCCTTTGGTTTGCTTTGGTTTACCTTTGGTTTGCCTTCGGCTTGCGTTTGGTTTACCTTTGGTGTGCTTTTGCTTTACCTGTGGTTTGCCTTTGGGTTGCTTTGGGTCTGCTTTTGGTTTACCTTTGGTTTTCCTTTGGTTTGCCTTTGGCTTGCCCTTGGCTTGCAGTTGGTTTGCTTTTGGTTTACCTTTGATTTGCGTTTGGTGTTCTTTTGGTTTGCATTTGGTTTGCTTTTGATTTGCCTTTCACCTTTGGTTTGCGTTTGGTTTACCTTTGGTTTGCCATTGGTTTTCTTTTGGCTGCTTTTGGTTTGATTTTGGTTTGGGTTCGTTTGCTTTTGGCTTGCTCTTGGTTTACCTTTGGGTTACTTATGGTTTTCCTTTGGTTTGCCTTTGGTTCGATGGGCCCAAACCAGCTAGACCCAAGTCAGAGCAAGCCAACATCTGCACAACCCTTCCAAGCACCTCACATGCAAGCAACAAGCTTAAACCAGCACTGACTCGCATGGCACAAACAAAGCTGACAAGCAGAGCAAACAGCATCTCATGAAACCCCCTGCGCGTAGCCTCCGCCGCAGGTCACGAGCCTGCCCTGCGCACTATCTCGACCGGTGCCACAACACAGCATCACCAGCATGCCCAGCATCACCGGTCAAAAGGTGGCAACACGGCGGCCATTTTTTGGTTTTTGGCCGCGGTTTGAGGAGCGAAAACACCCGCGCTCGAACGCGCCAAAACGACGCGAAAACCTGCAAATGACAGGGGAAACGCGCGAAATTGCTGACCGAGCAGCGGCCCAAACAGCGGCCAACATATGGCCGCCTTTTCGACAGGCAAACAAATCTGAAAATCACCGGGCGCACGATCCCCCCACCCCCTTGTCGCTCCCCCTGTTCTTCGCACACCAACTCCCAAGCGCTTTCCGTCATCGCTATTGCGGCTCTTGGTGTTTGTTTTGTGTTGGTTTGTGTTGGTTTATGCTCTTACCGCAGGGAGTCTTGTGCGCTTCCATGGCGTTGGGAAGAAGTACCATCTACTCAAAACCAGACCCCCAAAGATCCGGTCTCCATCCTTCGAACGTCCGAGCGCACAGATCAGACAGCCCTGGCGGAGCCCAGTGACAGCGGAGCACTGGCGGACGCCCAACCCACCAACCAATTACACCAAACCAAACCAAACCAAACCAACCAATTTGGTCCTTTCGGTGGAACACCCGAAGAGGCTTCCTGCCAGGGATTCGTGTTCTTTTTTTTCATGGCCATGGCCACAGTGGTCTGGGAACATGCAGCTCATTCTGCAGGGAAACCACCTGAAGCTCCAATACGGATGTCATTTTTGTCGAGAGGACTGTTTTGGGTCGGTTTAAAGAATCCAAAAGGAACCATCATGTGAGGGTTCCCCCAAAAGACGCAGCCACATGCTGGATGCACAAAATTGTGATTCGCACCTGAGATGGATGAAGCCTGATTTGAATACTGTGGGGAAACTATCACTTCCAAGTGGTGCGAAGTGGATTTTGCCCAACAGTGGAGTGCTAAAGGACCTGCCCAGGTGGGGAAGTCCAGTGAGGTCTGAGACACTAGGGTCATCCCCCCCAAAAAAGTGGCGCTTAGAGGTATTGCCACGCTATCCCAAAAAGGGTGACAACAAGTTGCAGCAACTTGTTATGACCTGCATGTGAAGGTCCTTTGCTTCCAGATTCAGCGGATTCAGTCCCTGGTTCCCTCTGTCGGGATCTGCCGGGGAGTCCATCGAGGGTTGCCGCTTTGGGCCGCCGTCCCCCAAATGGGCGTCCGTGATTTCGTCCCAAACATTCCCTTAGGTGTTTAGGATTTTAGTTGGTTTAGTGTTTTCATTCAACCCACTAAGCGTTGGTCACTTTTAGCAGGGAATCAGTTTGGACAGCCCAGTGTCATGATGGGCGCAACTCAGGAACATCGTTTTGCCCCTTCTTTTCCTCCCTTGCAGACATGTTCTTTTCCATCCGCGGACTAAACCATGCGCGATTTCCGCCCGTTTGCTCGAGGTCGGATATGGAGGCAAGCTACCGGGCACCTGGGGAACTTTGTTTTGCGTGTCAGAATATGTTGTAGTTTCCACTGGTTTAAAGGGGATTGATCACTACTGGACCTATTTCCATTTTTTGAGTAATTGGAGGATGACTCTTCCCATGAAAGTTATCTTGGTGGTTTGCCCTGGTCCCCTGTGACGGGTCTTTTCATCAACCCGCAACCATGCGCCGTTGCTTTTCATGTGACCAGATTGGCCACAATCAATCAGGTCACCCTCAATTGGTGGTTTGGATTGGTGGTTTGGGGATTTGACCCCCAGTACCTTGGAAGCCAAATGGGGAAGGTACCCCCTAAGGTCCAAAAAATATAATCACCAAGCCAAACCGCCCCACCAACTAAACCACCCCACCAACTAGGGGTAAGGTGAATCAAAACAGATTCGGGCAAGTAAAGATTACTCCGGGAAGTCCTTTAAACTCTTTACGTGCGTTTGGGTAGACCATTGGCATTCCAGATGTTGATTAATATTAAGCAGCGCGCTGTTTCACCACCTTTAACTCAGGGAAGAGTTGCTGCTCACATGTGCCATTGTTAAAGGCTCTGCATGCTAGTTGGGGTATGGTCATGGACCCTTCATAGGGAATGTAACTCCGACAATGCGGAGTTGCCTTGGCCAAGGGCAGATGACAGTTGATCAAAAGGGAAATACCCTGTGATAGTATCGTCGGCACAATCACGACCAACACACAACTGAAGAACTCCCTTATGATTTCATTCCATCCCCGGAAAGCAAAGGATCGTGACAATCATGAATTTCCTCTTGGATAGCTTCTTGTTGGGTCATGAACCTCCCATCTGAAGATCATGGTTGTTGGAAGGTTGCTTTCAGTTCCCCTTTTAACCAGCCCCACAAGGGTACCATCAAACAGACACACACCCACACGAATCTTTTTTGCCAAAACGCTAACCAGGTTGGTTGGGAGAGGTTCTCTCTTCGTGTCTCCGGGAAGCTGAGCATGCTTGCAGAACTAAGTGTTTGGGGAGTTTCTTGGTGGTTCACTGAACCAGTCAGCTTCTTTTTGGTGGTTCAGGGAACCTGTCTGAGGTCTTGCACAGGTTCTTTTCAAGTCTGAGCAAATTTTGCATTTTCCTTCCACACGCCCTGCTGGTTTTCCTACGGATCTCAACGTGGTTCCGTTGGCGGTCGGCTTCGCGGCTTCGCGACCGGCTTGGCGACAGGCAGAACGGGCGCTCGGTGTTCCGGTGGGTGATCATCTGCCTGGTGGGCATCTGTACAGGACCTGGTTCCACGGGTTCCTCGCTGCCCCCGAAGGGGGAAGTCGCCGGGGTTTGATGCAACTGGAGAGCAGCGGATAGCAATCTTCACCGTCCTTTGCTGCCAAGGGAACGACGTGGGGGACAAATCCCAAGTTGCACTCAGACCATGGGGGTTGGTTTTGTATGGGCATGTCGTTTTCTTCGGGGGCCAGGATCACGAAGAGACAGATATGTCATGCCCACTGCTTTTTCCTTCCATCTTTCGGATGGCGCGCTTGAGCTTTCTGGTTTGCCTCCTTACGTCAGGGCGATTCAACCCGATTCGCAGGGGTTCGGATGGGGGTAACCACATGGAGGCCCTCCATAGATTTCCGTTGTGCAAGGGAAGTCGTTTATGGAAAGGGGAACCGGCAGGGGTGGAAGGGAGGGGTTAAACGGGGTGTATAGATACAATGTACTCTTGGGGCTCGAGCCATTTTCCCTTGTACCATTTGTCCCTTTTGGCACGTTGAATTCGTCTGGCCAAGGAACTTGGGTGTGAGTTGGTCAATGAGATTCACCCGCTCGGTTTCTATTTTGGCCTCATGGATGAACAGCAAAATAGTTGGGAATTCTTTGAGGGGCATGGGGATTTCCCTCTATTGAATAAGGGGCTAGTTCGCATAGTGGAGGATCTGGTTTTCGCGTTTGAGGTGGCCAGTTTCTGCCAGTGGTCAAGAGAGTCCCCTTTTCAGTGACATGATGCCCTGCAGGGCAAGACTGTGTATGTTCCCGCACTTCCCAACATGCAAGACTTTCCTGTTGGGCCTTTTTGAGCCGCCCGAAAAGTGACGGATTCCTCTTGCCAAACCTGAAACCTCTGCCCAAGAAAGGCCGCACAAGTACGTGTCCACCAATGTTTGGCTTGGTGCAGAGACCCTTTCCTTTCTTTGCTTGTAAGGTGATCTTGGGCAAGAAATGTTGGCCGGCCAGACTTAGCTTGCCTTCCCAACTTTGTGTAGGCTCTGCTCTTCTGTTGGCGGTTGGGTTTTCAGCTTTGTTTGGTTCTCACTGAAAGCAGCGGGGATGGAGTGGGCTCGCCCCCCCTGGCGAAGCCACCGATTTTGTAGTGGCACAGCAGACCGCCAAGTCCCATGCGGGCGGCCGAATTTTCTCCGATTTTTCGTTGCCCGTTCTGGCTGAAACATGGGCGCCCCTGAAACATGGGCGCCCCTTTTTCACGGCTTCCTATTATATTTCCCAGGCCCCACGGAAGCACTCGACTTGAAGGGGCCGTCCAAAAATGAGTTGCAACGACCGGCTGTCCTTCTGGTCTCCCACCCCAACAAAATGCAAGTTTTGGTGAAACCCGGGCAAGGTGCCCGCCGAAGAACCGGCTTGAGCATGGACAGGTCGTCCGGAAAGGAGTACTCCCGGATCTATTTACCTCTGCTGCAACCAAGGGTTTCCACCCGTGAAACGTAGCAAGACAAATGGCGACGCCTGAAATTCACTTGTGAGGCCAGATTCCCGGGAGTGGCTCAGCTAATCTCAAAGCCTTTGCGAGGAGTGGTTGCGGCGATGATCGACTTTGCCCTGAAGCGGCTCGAAGATTTGCAGAACCTCATGATGAGGAGCGGCAAAAAAGCTTCGTGTTCCAGCCCAAAGGGCTCTGGTGGGTGTATTCTAATCACAGGTAGCGGAAACTGAGACTTGTTCCCCTCTCTGTCTTTTTGTTGATCGGACGCCCCGCATAATGGGGGCTTTCCATTTGGTTCCCTGAAGCAAAATCAAAACAACAACTCTTTAAAACGACATACCCATACAGAGGCAGTTGGGCACACGTACCGACTGACTTTGGGGTTGGCCAAATGATGGAGCCCCGCCATTTCTGGAGGGTCCCATTCCTGCCAGACAGACCCAGCTGAGTTTTGGAGTTCAGCTCAGGTAGTTGTGAGGGCGCCTTTTCCAGACCGTTTTCGGTTGACACGCGCCAGGAGCGTGATCGACCACACGGGCCATTGGTTTCCACCGCAGCCCGGCGCAAATCGAGTCTGGACGTGAGGTCCCGGTTTGTATCAGAATATGGGTGCCTCGTTTGTGTTTGCTAGGGGAACCTCTCTCTTAGGCTGGTAAAAGGATCTTTGAGATCGCAAGGGTCTTAGGGCCCTAACTAATTAACCCCGAACATCTTTTGCCGCGAGCGATCGCTCGGATGACTTGGACTCTGGCGAAAGTCCGAGTTGCCATGCACTTGGCTCACTGGAACTAGGACTCATCCAGGTGGTGAGGGTTTTGTTTCCCTTGGAACCCACAAAAGTTGATCTGGTCGCCCTTCATGGGTTTGGATTAGCTTGGATTGGGAGTTGAAGCCCGGCTTCTTGTAAAGGGTATCTGGGAAAAAATGCGGCCCCGGAACACCTCCAAACCAATCCAAACACCGCTTCAGGGTAGGATAAAGAAAAGGGAAGGTGACACCCATGGGTATGGGTCAACATGACCTGATTTGGCGTTTTGTGTTCTGTCACTTTCCCATCTTCATTTCGGAGTGCGACACCTTCCGCCGATGTACCTTTTGTGGGACTGGCTTGAAGGGAAAACTCGCCAACCAATTTCAGCACCCAAGGTAGGAGGAACACTTGGCGAGGTTCCAATTCCGGGACCTTTCTGGGGTGGACAGCTTGGAAACCAAAAGGTCACCATTGGCTTTTGTTCTGCGGGGGGTACCTCTTTCAGAGGCGCGACCCCCAACCCTTTGGTCAAAAAGGTTTGCGGCCGACAAGGATCCTAAGGTTTGGTCGCTTTGGCTCCAGCGGTTTTAAGGAGAATCTTCTGGGACTTTGGGCCTTTTCAAATGGGAGACTACCCACCCTTTTTTCATCTTAGTTCCGTGTCGGGGGCCTGGCAGCGCGGTCCGTGCTCTGCGCGGGAAGGTTGTGGGCTCGAATCCCATCAGTATCCCCATTTTTCAAGGCTTCAACAGCTTTGACCCTCACATGTAATTGGTGGGAGCTGAATTGACGCAGCTCTGTCATACAAAAAACGGGATTCGGGGAGGCGGGGGGAAAAAAGGATGACAGGGGCCCCGCGCCCGCGCCGAGGTATGTTTGCTTCCTGGTCTTCCGGGTCTTCTTGGCCTCCATCGCCGGCATTTTCGTGTGCTACGTAGAGCCTTTGGCGTCCGGCAGCGGCATCCCCGAGATCAAGTCCTTCCTGAACGGCGCCTCGAGAGACGTCCGGGGGAGAAAAAAAAGGGCGCTGAAAAAGGGGCTGGCTCGTGGTGGATTTTTGGTTGAAGGAGGGGGGGGGGGGTTGGAAAAAAAAAGGTGTGGAACAAAAAACAAGGGTTGTTCTGAAGATGAGAATTGGAAAGTTGGATGGCTTCTTCAGGCACTCCCAAGCTGAATCTAGTCATTGTCGGGCTAAGCCTATTGATGTGTTTTTACCCTATTGTCGAAGTCAGGAGCTGGAGCTGACTTCCTTTAACCTACCACTGAGTGACCTTGGAAAAAATTCGGGGTGCCTCAGATATTCCCGAACCGGCCGCATGTGGATCCATCCGCATACGCAACGGAAAGCAGCCTGGAGCCACCATGATGCATTTTGCTCATTGCGGATTGTTTGCAGCTTGAGGGTCCAGGTTCTTGGCTAGCCCCTTCCCTCGCCCTCTCTCCCTCTCTCCCGCTCTTTCTCACGCACTGAGCCCCTTTACAGCGAACCTTGAAGTCAAGGCGAGGCTGCGTCAGGGAAGTAGGTTATAAGTTATGCCAGAGTCAAAAGGGGACGACCCCCAGCAGCCCCCAAATTGCGCCTTACCAGCTCGTCGGGCTCATTGGCCTTCCGGTTCGACAGGGAAGTTGCCAGATGCGCGTGGTTTCCGTTTTGTTTTTGTACTCCAGGGCAATGAATGCCCTGCCCGGTCGGAGGCATCCACCTGCCGCGGTTGTTGGACCTCAAGACTTTGGCCGCCAAGGCCGCCAGGAGCCCCAGTTGGAAGGGCGCACGGGAAGGCCCCGGTCGCTGCAGTTCGGGGGCGGGGCGAGTGAGTGACCCACCCACTGCCACTGCCAGCTCGCCCCAGCCAGCCCGCAAAGGCCCGCAAACGCACGGCTGGGGGCCTTTTTCGTTGGAGTATGTTCAAGGGCCCGCCCCCCCACCCCTCCCAACAACGGGAAATTGAGAGCAACCCGCGGACGAAAGGCAGCCAGCCAGCCAGCCACTCGCCGAGAGGTGGGGGTCATCTTCTCCGTGGGCGCGGGGCTGCCCTGCGGCAAGGAGGGCCCCATGATCCACTCCGGGGCCATCTGCGGCGCGCTGCCAGGGCCCCGGGCCCCGGGCCGGAGGAGGAGGAGGAGGAACCAGAAGAAAAATAAGCAGCAGGAAGAAGACAGAAGACACGGCATTCGCTTTGCCACGAACATGATCTTGCAGGTTGCCGCAACAGAACAGAAGTTTCAGGGCATCGGTCAAAGGGTCGGTTCGGAGTCATCGTCGAATCGAGGCTTCCCCGTGGTGTTTGGTCCTTTAAACAATCATTTTGCCCATTTGAAGCATGGCTTTTTCAGCAACAATAAAGGGAAACCACCTGTATAATGTAAGGATCCCTGTTGGCCGGCGCGGGTTTCCTCCCTGAGTTGTTTTAGCGTCCAGACGGTGCCGAGGATCTCGGGGGTGTTCTGGACGCCGACGCTCCGGCCCATCAACATGGACAAGGCGTGTGGCACGGGGCACTTCCATGGAGCGCCCAAAATCGATTCCCGTTGGTGTTGGTTCCACCTGGTTTCATAGTGGTAGTAAAGTTTACATAGACCTTCGGAACCATCTTCGAACCAAAGGTCAATGGGTTTTGGGCGCTGTGCTCATTTGAGGTTCGAACAAATGTCCGGAGTTCTGTCTCCATTTCGGAGGGGCGAGAAGGGGAAACTCGCAAGCTGCCCCGCGAAGAGGCGAGCTCTTAATGGAAGCGTTCGCAGTTTTCACCGCGCGTTTCGGCGTTTCTTCCAAGTCCAAGCGAGCTCCCCAAGAGCTTTGCTGTGAACCGAATATTTTTTCTCCAGAAATGACCCACACAAAAAGGTGCAAAGGCAGAACACCAGGCACGGGGTTCTTTATTGGAATAGAGAAGTGGTTTTAGCTCCGACCTGCATTTTCCATTCCCACAAAGGCTTCAACAAGAAGTTCTGTTTGAGCAATCCTCACAGGTAATTCTTCGAAACCAACAAGAAAGACACAGCGATGCTGCTAGAATCCAAGGCCCCTTCACGGGCGAAAATCGATGTGGCGAGTCCTTTTGAAGTCGAATGGTCCCAAGGCATCTAAAGGAAACTGGCCACGAGCACATACTGGCAGCTATTCTTTATCAAATGGAAGTTTTTAAGAAATTTTCGAACTTGAACTACACGCAGAACCTTGCTTCGGCATGAAGATAGATGTTTACTTGCCCAATGGAGATGGTTGCTGCATAGAAGTCTCCCCAGCGACACTTGTCCGTGAGCTGAAGTCTGCAGCGCAGCGGCATTTCCAGCGCCGCTTGACGCTCACGGCGAAGGGCCGGCAGCTCGATTCGACGTCCACGCTGAGGGAGGCCGGGTTGCAAGATGGGGACGCCGTGGCTGCAGTCGTGCAGCTTGACAAAGTGGCGGCCACCTTCAAGGCGTTCGCTTGGCATAAAGGGGGCGACCTGGTGACTTGGGGTCAACCGACATGCGGTGGAGACAGCAGCCAGGTGCAAGAGGAGCTGCGGAACGTTCAGCACATTCAAGCAGCTGCCAATGGTGCTTTTGCTGCCATGCTTGCATCTGGCTCTGTTGTGACCTGGGGTCATGCACAATGGGGCGGAGACAGCAGCCAGGTGCAAGAGCAGCTGAGGAACGTTCAGCACATTCAAGCAACTGGTTGTGCTTTTGCTGCCATTCTTGAATCTGGCTCCGTTGTGACCTGGGGTCGTGCAGAATGGGGAGGAGAGAGCAGCCAGGTGCAAGAGCAGCTGAGGAACGTCCAGCACATCCAAGCAAATCTGGGTGCTTTTGCTGCCATTCTTGAATCTGGCTCTGTCGTGACCTGGGGTCGTGCAGAATGGGGCGGAGACAGCAGCCAGGTGCAAGAGCAGCTGAGGAACGTTCAGCACATTCAAGCATCTGGTGGTACCTGGGGTCTCACAGAATGGGGAGGAGACAGTAGCCAGGTGCAAGAGCAGCTGAGGAACGTCCAGCACATCCAAGCAAATCCGGGTGCTTTTGCTGCCATTCTTGAATCTGGCTCTGTCGTGACCTGGGGTCGTGCGGAATGGGGCGGAGACAGCAGCCAGGTGCAAGAGCAGCTGAGGAACGTTCAGCACATTCAAGCAACTGGTTGTGCTTTTGCTGCCATTCTTGAATCTGGCTCCGTTGTGACCTGGGGTCGTGCAGAATGGGGAGGAGAGAGCAGCCAGGTGCAAGAGCAGCTCAGGAACGTCCAGCACATCCAAGCAAGTCAGGGTGCGTTTGCTGCTATTCTTGAATCCGGCTCTGTTGTGACCTGGGGTTGTCCAGACAGGGGAGGAGACAGCAGTCAGGTGCAAGAACAGCTGAGGAACGTTCAGCACATTCAAGCAACTGGTTGTGCTTTTGCTGCCATTCTTGAATCGGGCTCCGTTGTGACCTGGGGTCGTGCAGAATGGGGAGGAGAGAGCAGCCAGGTGCAAGAGCAGCTGAGGAACGTCCAGCACATCCAAGCAAGTCAGGGTGCGTTTGCTGCTATTCTTGAATCCGGCTCTGTTGTGACCTGGGGTTGTCCAGACAGGGGAGGAGACAGCAGCCAGGTGCGAGAGCATTTGAGCTTGAATCTGGGTGTTGTAACACTTGACGGCGCATGTCTCGGGCGCTGAAGTTGTACTGAACAAGGGGAACCTCACTCGCATGTGTCGTTTCTTTCCATGCTCAGCCGTTTTGCGGGATGTACTTCATCATACGTACAAGTTTCCTTGACCTTTCCGGGCATGGCTATTCGTGGCCGCAGGGGGCCTTTAGATGTTTTTGCAAAGGCAACCAAAAGAATGCCAACCATTTTGCAGAAGACCCTGTTTTTGGAAGCACACATAAGCCTAACATATAATATAATAGATAGTACACTCCTTTGAAGAGCATACACCCCAAACTTCGTAAGCGTTCATCATTTTGGGCCACGCCGAGGAATCCCCGAGCGCCCATTTCCTTTGAAGTTGACCGTTTTGTGAGTTTCAAATAGTGGCAGATAGTTGTCTTTGTGTAGTGGCCAGGGGAAGGTCACTTTCTGGGAAGATTCATTTTGCTGCCTGCATCCACCCGAGGGACTGAGACTACGGGCCTTTTGTTGCTGCAGGATATGTTGGTAGACTTAGACCTCCGACCCGTTCGCAAGTGGTTAATAACCACAGACAACCACAGACCATCAGATCCCTAGAATTTACGCCACAGCCCATTTGAGACACGAAGACAAAGTAGATCACGAGGTATGTAAAACGGTAGTACGTGCGAGCACTTGGCTATTCTCGGTGAATCAGGAACTTGGTTGCATCCCCTCACTTGCCCAAAGCGAATCAGCCTTTTCGCCTTTTTCAGTTTCCAATTTGGGTGTGGCTCAAAGTTTAAGAGCCAGGGTTACGCAGGTTTTAGTTGTTGGTTCCATTTGCCAAGGTTCCTTTATTGGTACATGTTTTTGAGACCACTTGCTTCCAAGAAAAGGCCACTGACCCCGGCGCACCACCACGACTCCCGCAATAAGAATATTCGAAGGCAAGCCATCGCAGTTCCAACCACCCGAAAAGCACCTTCAAAGGCAAGCCAACTTGGCTTTTTCCCCCAGTTTCGGGCAATCCAATTCCTGGACCAGGCAAAGTTGCCTTTTGGGATACATGTTGGCCATGTACCGGAGGGTAGTTTCGGAGGATATTCTTCGTGAATCAGGTGCTTCACCGGCCAAACCGACCTTTTGGTTGGTTCTGATCCATGTGAAGGTTCCAAAAAGGCTTACCCCCCTTTCTACGCCGTTTGGGAAAGGGAGGAATCTTCAAACACATTGGCCATTTTGCCAAAGCCTCTGAATGTCTTGCCCAAATTGGGTGCTTCAAAGAGGCCGAGCATGGCTTTGTACTGCTTGGCTCGGAGTGGGATCTAAGGCCGGGTGTCTCCATGTGTTTCCAACTTTGGTGGGTTTTAACCATCGACTTTTGGTCGCCAGTATCAGAGTGAGTTTCCTTTTGTGATGTTCAAACGGGCAAAATATCACCTTGGCATTCTAACATGTGTTTCCTTATGTGGTGATGTTTGAATCATAGGATCCAAGCCCTGTTTCAACCCTCCTGCTTCCCCAAAGTAAGGGCTGTAGGGCCGTAGGGGATGGGTGTGCCTGTTTTAGGGGACCCCTCCAAAATGGTGGCTTTCCTTGTGGGTTCCCTTTAAACCCCCGCAAAAGCGGGCGCCCTCAAACAACAGGCCCAAACAAACCTTTTGGGGTGACGTTTAAGGGGAACTCGCTTCCCGAGTTCTTGGTTTGTTGCATGGGCTGTTTGCAATGAAACACGTTCCGACTCTTTGGTTGCCATCATCGGAAGTGAGGGAACACTCCCCAGAACATGGAACCAAACGCAAGGCCCGTGCTTGGGATCGATCAGAATCTTTGGGATTTTGGGGTTTGGGTTCATGTGGCTTCGTCATGTTGGAGGGTTCCCCTTTTGGTTGGCTTGAAAGGGAACAACAGCAAACCACCCCTTTCAAAACACTATCTATGAGTTGCTCAAAAGGACTCGCTTTGCGGCCATGTTTTGGCGCTGGACGCTTCCCCCTACTTGCTGGTGCGCAGGGAATGAACCTGGGGATTCCCTGAAAGGAACCCCCAAGGGATGGCTTTTAGGGGTCATTTCAATTCTCATCCCCTGCCCATAGGCGCCCTTTTGGGTTGGTTTGGTTGGAAAATAGAGGGCCCTGGTTTGCCTGGTGGTTCAATCATCTACCAGCCAGCAAGCAGCTCGTTTCGAGCCCCTAGGAGCAGCGGGACCTAGTCACTGCGGGCGCAGCGGCGGGGGTATCTGCAGCATTCAGCGCGCCGGCGCCGTGGCGGAAGTTGATGTCAGCCTTGCTTCGAGGCGCTGTGCTGTTAGTATTCTTCTTACCCTCCCACCAGCGATTCCATGGAAGTGCGCAGACCCCTGTAGAAAGACTACTTTCCTCCTGGAAAGGGCCTTTGTGCACTTGAATGCTAGTTGCTGGGAGGGTAGGTTTCTGGCTTTTTTGGTCCTGTTCATTTTTAGTACGGGGGGAAGCAAACAAAGTGTTTTGCTGCCGTACCAAGGGCTGGAAAGGGTGTGCGCGTGCGCGCGCGTGTGCGAGTGTGAAATCCTGAGCTTTACCCTCCAAATACCCACTTGAGGTGGTCGCTTGTGAGTTGGTACCCTTTTCGCCCCACTTAAAACAGTTTTTGGGCCCCCCATACTGCTTCGAAACCTATTGAAACCATTGTTTGTTTGTATTTAAAGGGGAATCGAATCCTTCCAGGGTTTCCGAACGGTGGTGCAGGACGAAATGGATTTCGTCCATCCACATTTGACACATAGGCCGACTGCATGGACCAACCCAGGCGCCAGGTGGGAACGGCGGTTCAAGGCTCTGCAAACGACTGGTGTTGGAGTGTCGCAAACCAATTCCTCCGGATCTGTCAAATACATGCGTCAGTCATAAAAATTAGATTATTTAGCAGGCATGCCCCTCCAGATATTCATGGTGCATCCATGCCAACAGGTTTTCAGACTTGTCGTCTGCTCTTGAGTGGTTTTTCTTCAAGCCTTCCCATCCCTATGGCAAACAAAGGTGGGGCAAGTCCACTTTGGGCTCTTGGCCAGAGTCTGCCGGGCCCCTTGTATCCTTGGAACGAACATACAGAGCAAGCAGTCGCGTTTGTCTCAAGGGATAGTGTTCCAGACCGGTGGTTGGCATTTCCTTTTCCAAGTTTGTTTTCGAGAAGGTTTCCAACTTGAAACTCAGCCAGCAAAGGATCTTTCAAACACTTAGCTCCTTTCAGAAGTTGTGACTTTTTGAGTTGGTGCTTGTTTTGTTTTTGTTCTTTGTCGACATGAAGGGACGCCCTTCAGAAGCAAGCAACAGCTTCGCCTATCCTGGAGTGGGACTTCCGGATTCGTAAATCAGCAGCACTTGCAGAAAGCGCCCTAAATCATTTGGAGGTCCTGCAAGATACCACGGCCCCTTCATGCACATGTCAGAGAGAATGTTTACTTGGTTCCTAGCCATTCCAACTTGGACGTTTGGACTCTTGGACTTTTGGAGTCTAGAGGAATTCATGACATGGGTGTTTTTTTTTTGAGGAACCCCGAAGATGGTGGTGTTCCGTTTGGTCACAAAAGGGGGCCCACCTCACTGTTGTTGGCTGTTTTTGCATATATATTTTTCTTGGTCCTGTTCAATTTTAGTGGGGGGCTGCAAACAAGTGCCTTTTTTTGTTCCGTACCAAGGGTTGCAAAGTCAACCCGACCTCCAGGTTGCGAGCCCTTTTTCTTCTTTTTGCGCTTGAAGGTCTCCCTTTTAAGGTCTGCCCCCCACAACGGGACCCGGGGCATGTTAGAAGATCAGGGTTCCCAGCGATTCGTGTGTGTTTTTCTGAGGGTACCCTTTTTTTAGGGCCTTTTTTGGGGTTTTTCAAGGGACAGCAAAAGGACAACCGCCATTTTGCGGGTTTTTCAAAAAATGATACGCCCATTTGGCTTTGTTTGAAGATCGCCGCTTGTTTGCCTCAGGTGGGGGGTGTGCTCTTTGCGATCGAGGAGGGGGCGACCCATATGAGCGCCCCTCGGAGATATTTTGCCGTTTCAGGAAAAGGACATGTGGACATGGTGTCTTCATTGCTTTTAGTGGGTGAAACGTGGTTTAAGTTCAGCACGGATGGCTTGGTGAAGCATGGTTCAGCACGGATGGTCACAAAAAGGCTCCTAGGGGTTCAATCGTTTCGCCTAAGTGAACCTCCGACAGGTGGACAGGTCACAGGCTTGCAACCCTTATCCATTAAATCCACGATCCAGCATTTTGCGGGGGCTCCTCCTTTTGGTTTCCCTACCAACATGGGAGGGGTGTTCCCCAAAATCGACCCCCCCCTCCCCCCCCCCCGCCCCACCCCCTAAAAAACGGAAAAACAAGGCACCACCTGCCTCCAACAAAGTATCAGCAACCATTTTGTGAAGAAGTGTTCATGACCACAAGCTGGACCACTAGGTCCCCCAGCTAGGTGCCCTTTTACCCTTTTTGGGGGAGGGTTCCCCTACTAAAATAGACTACAGAAAAAAGTTGGTACCCTTATTCTAACCTTTCTACTGGAGGAGCCAATCCTCCAAATGTTTTCATGAATTTTCAGAGTCCCACGTCTTCATTTTTTGTTTTATTTTCATCTTCAACTCTGTGAGATTGGGATAGTTTTGATGCACCAAAGGCTATTTCCTTAGTCATGATCAAACTGTCTAGACTTCCTGAATCTACATCCATGCATCCCTCCATCCCTTCATCCCTGCATCCCTCCATCCCTTCATCCCTCCATCCCTCCATCCCTCCATCCCTCCATCCCTCCATCCCTCCCTCCCTCCCTCCCTCCCTCCATCCCTCCATCCCTCCCTCACTCCATCCCTCCATCCCTCCATCTCTCTCCCTCCCTCCCATCCATCCATCCCTCCAGCCATCCCTCCCTCCCTCCCTCCACCCATCCATCCATCCCTCCCTCCCTCACTCCATCCCTCCATCCCTCCATCCCTCCATCCCTCCATCTCTCTCCCTCCCTCCCATCCATCCATCCCTCCAGCCATCCCTCCCTCCCTCCCTCCCTCCCTCCCTCCCTCCCTCCCTCCCTCCCTCCTCCATCCCTCCATCCCTCCATCCCTCCATCCCTCCATCCCTCCATCTCTCTCCCTCCCTCCCATCCATCCATCCCTCCAGCCATCCCTCCCTCCCTCCCTCCCTCCATCCATCCATCCATCCATCCATCCATCCATCCATCCATCCATCCATCCATCCATCCATCCATCCATCCATCCATCCATCCATCCATCCATCCATCCATCCGAACATATTCCAAAACATCAAAGAATGCATGCAATCATAAATGTACAGTTGGAAACGATGAACAACAAAATGCTTTTCAGACGCATATTATATAAGCAAAATCCCTTTGCACCCCCCCAAGCAACCCTTGCTTCCCATGCCCCCCCCCCCGGCCCCCGGGGCCCTCCCCCCCCCCATTCCCCGCTTGCTTGGGGTCCCCCGAGGTGGACATCATGCTGAAGACCTTCGTGGCCTCGGCCTGCGCCGCCCTGGTGGTGCGCTTCTTCCACGCCGGCTTCGCCAAGCGCCTCCGCTTGAACCCTGCCTCCCAAGGACTGAAGGCAAAAACCGAGGTACCCTCCCACCAACTCAGTTTGGACGTGCCACAAAAAATAGACCTTTCCAAGAGGAAAGTAATCCTTTTCTACAGGGGTTTGTGCACTTCCATGGAATCGCTGGTGGGAGGGTATATATATATATATATGTATACATATGTATATATATATATATATATATATACACGCCTTTGGGTGAATGTATTTACATGCGCGAAAAGCTTCTTCTTTTTTTTTTTTGGGGGGGGGGAGAAGTCCTATTATATATATATATACATGCATTATATGTCTTAAAAGAAGCACATTTTTCATTGAAAAGGATTCTCCCTTAAGCGTCCTTCCCATTTTTCCATTTAGAAGAACGCGCCCCCTCAAATGAGATATTGCAACGACCCCTTAATTCCAGTGGTTTGCAAGGAGAACAGTTCAGTTTCTGACTTTGAACCTTACGAACAGAAACGAACTCATGCGTTCACTTTTTGATTGGCCTCTCCAAAGATCACATGTGATGCGGGGTGTGGCTCAAAATCTGCCCCTCCCACCCCAGCGCAGGTCGGCTTCCTTTCGGTCTTGAACGAAACCTCAAAAGGGCTACAAACTTGAACAAGAAATCCAGTCCAAAGCTCCGGGCCGGATGCAATTCAACTTCTATGTGAGTCTTTTTAAGAAAAAAATAAGGCACCGATCCAGGCGATCGTTTGGACCCACTCGGTGGGAAGAGCCGCAGCCCATTGAGAGAAACAAACAACCTGTCCGACCTGACTCTCTTTCCATGTGCTCCGACCCAAATGACCTTTGCCTGGATCGCTGGTTCCCGTTTCCCAACTGGCGATCCAGGCTGAGCTGTCCTTTCATCAACTTTCTGCCCGGTCAAGTCTTTGGGCCGGTTCCGCTCTCAGAGCGACCCTCTCTCTTAAACTGTGACCCTCTTCAAGCCTCCTCTTTCTCCTTTCGGTGTCCAAAACCTAAACACGCCCACTTCTTGCGCAACTTCTCGTTTCCTTTTCACGCTCCCCCCCCCCCCTTTTAGCGTTTTTTTTCTTCTACATATTTTCTTTTCTGCTTGGCTCCTGGTGCTCTCCCTTCCCTTACTTTCGAGCGGGCGCCACGCCGCCGTGGCGCGCGTGGCGCGCCTTTCGGTCCGAGGGGGGACTGGGGGATGCTGGGCTCCGCGGTGCCCCTGGAGTTCGGGGCACTGCCGAACCTGCAGTACGCCATCTGGGCGCGGGCCCTCGGAGTTCGGAGTTGGCCTCGTGCGGGGGGGGGGAGGCGGGGGGGGGGAAGGAGGGAAGGAGGGGGGGAGGATCCAACAGGCGAAGGCGGGGGGGGGGAAGGAGGGGGGGGGGTAAGGTGGTGTTAAGGGAGGGGGGGGAGGATCCAACAGCCGAAGCAAAGCAGACGGAGGGGATTTATGTTTGATGGGAAAGGCGGAAGGCGGAAGGTCCACCATTTTTTTGAGTCCCAGGAATGTGGGTGGCTGGAGCTGGCTTTTGGTGAGAACCCGGTTCTCCATTTTTGGTGTCCCTGCAAAACCACAAAAAAAAGGGCGCCCTCAAGAAGAGACGCACCCAAGGGGCAACTTGCATTCTCCTAGAACAAAAGGCAACCGACAAAGTGGTTCCTCCTGTCTGGAAACCAGCAGCAGCTTCGCGATCCGGGTCTGAAATGTCGCTGAGATCTTTCAATGGGCTCGGGCTTGAGAGTGAGTCAAGGGCTGGTGAAGGGATTTGTAATGACCCGGGTGTAAATAGAACCCGTGTTATTAGGAGGTGCTTCCTCAAGTGATGAATCCCCACTAGCACGGAACACCCCCAATCTCACCCCCTATTTTTTCAAGCAGGGGTTTGTTAGTCCGGGGGTTCCTACTAAAACCAGGATTCGCCAACGCCTGATTATGCCTGCGGGGTGTGCCAGTTTGGAGATTCACCGGAGGAGGAAGACCACCGCACAAATCTTGCCAAGCTCGGCTTTGAGTACTCCGGGGTCGACTGGAATGCTGGAGCTGAGTATATCCCTGGCGCGGGGACCACGGTTATAACCTGCTAAGAGAGCGCCCAAAGCCTCCATTGACGATTTTGGCTGGTTCTACCGTCTGGTTTCATGAGGGTTGTCGCAAAGCCTGTAAACAAACCCGTCATAACCGTGTTACAACCTGCTTGCCAAGAGAGCAGCGCCCAAAGCCTGTAAAAACCGTCATAACGTCACAACCATAGGTGTCCTTGTAGGGGAAATAGATGGCCCTGGTAGATGCTTGAACCACCAGGTAAGCCAGAGCCATCTACTGTTCTTCCAAGAGTCTCAAGCGTTGTCCTGCAGCAAATGTGTTTGA